CCCGTCCTTCCTCCACTGCTTCACACTGGCCAGCGCTGCCTTCAACCTGCAAGTGGCCACCCCCGGGGTGAGTCCAGTTCCCCTTGTCTCCAGGAGAGTGACATCATCCCTGGGGGGACCTAAGGGGCTGGGACCCCAGGGACGCTGCCCTGAGAGTCCCCCCAGAGGAGCCTGGAACACCTGCTTCCAGTTTACAGGCGGGGACTGCGGCCAGCAGGGGCTGAGGGGCTGGGCTGACGGTGCCTTGTCCCGAGGGGCTGCCAGCAGTCCCAGCCCTTGTCAGAGTTTTCTGGAGCCTCCATGTGCCAGAAGCAGGGGGTGAAGTGCTGACCCTTGGCCTCTGGGCTCCCACAGGGGAAGACCATGGACTTTGTCGACGTGAACGACAGCAATGCACGCTGGGTGCAGGACTTCCGCCTCAAAGCCTACGCCAGCCCCGCCAAGCTGGAGTCCATCGATGGTGCGGAGCCTGGGAGGGCCTTGGGGGTGCAGTTCCCGCTGGGTCCTGACCCCAAACTACACACCTGTGTTCCTGGAGCATTCAGGGGCTTGCCACAGAGCACCGTGACCATCCGGGCCATGTCCCGTCCGGTGGCCAGAGCTCCCAGCAGCAGAGGGAGCTGGCGGGCAGGCAGGTGGTTGGCGGGTCTCGGGAGCCTTAGCCGGTGGGGCCGGCAGCTGGCCAGCAGCAGCAGAGAGCCAGCTGCTGGCCTCGTCATCTGTGACTGACCGGGCTGTGGTCCCCCAGGTGCCCGCTACCATGCCCTCCTCATCCCCAGCTGCCCCGGGGCCCTGGTGGACCTGGCCAGCAGTGGGTCCCTGGCTCGCATCCTGCAGCACTTCCACTCCGAGAGCAGTAGGTGGCCCCAGGCCCGGGCTTGGGGGGCGGTATGAGATTCATGGGAGAGGGGACCCCGCTAACAGGGAGGAGAGTCTGGTGGGGGGGTGGGGGAGGTGGTGTTCGTGGGCCTCGTTGGGGTTCAGGTTTTGGTGGGAATGCCGAGTCATTTCAGGAGCCGCCTGGGGTCAGTGTGGAGCGCCATGGTCCTGACCAGTGAGTGGACAGGTTTACTCAGCGTGTATACACGCGCGTGTGATATACACACACGAAGGAGGGGCATCCCTTCCACCACTGCCCCTCCCTCAGCCTGGTTCCCTCCGGGGCTGTGGGCTGGGAACCCTGCCCCCTGCAAGGTGGGCAGGCAGGATGCTGGCTTGGTTCCTGGTGGGGTCTGTGGGTGGTGGTGGGGCAGGGGGCTGGGAAAACTGCTCTGAGGAGACGTGTCTGCTCCAAGAGGACGTAGCACACTGCCCTGGCCTGGCGTCGGGACCAGCAGGCAAACCCAGGGCTGCACAAAGCGTCCTTTGTTGGTGGAAACGGGGCCTCCACGGGCAGTGCTTGTCCGGGCACTCAGCCGTGGGAACGCACTTGTGCCAGGCTGCCCTCTCAGAGAGGTGCTTGGAGCCAGGGGCCTGGGGTTGAGCAGAGGGCCAGGGTCCCCCCCGCCACTGCATTCGGAGGAGGGGGCTCCAGGAGCTGCCCAGAAGCTGGGTCAGGCGCCTCTGATGGGCAGAGACGGTGCTCCCATGTGAGGGGTGGACAGCAGCCACCTTCCTCCCGCCAAGCCTGGCTCTTGGCCCCTGAACAGCTTGAGGGGATCTGAGCTCTGAACAAACCCGTCTTGTCTGGGAGGGCCGGGGAGGTGGGGGTGTTGATGGGGCCTGGGTGGCTTCTGCCTCAAGCCGGTGCTGGCCCTGCTTGCAGAGCCCATCTGTGCTGTGGGCCACGGTGTGGCCGCCCTCTGCTGCGCCACCAGCGAGGACAGGTCCTGGGTGTTCCAAGGCTACAGCGTCACCGGGGTGAGTGCGCATGGGTGGGGCCCCTGGGCAGGGGGGATCGAGGCCCCTGGGGGGGGCAGCAGTTGTTGGCCTGGTCAGGGCTCAGACCCCAGCACAGAGCAGGGGGCTTGGAGCAGGGGCCCCTTGGGGCCTTGTTCCGTGCCCGAAGAGTGGGTGACTGCTTGCGGGTCCTGGGGGGGATCCTCTGGGGGCACTGTGGCCCCCCTTGTCGGGCTCTGTGCCCTACCCTCAACCCTGAACTCTTCTGCTTGGACTTTTCTGGTGGCCCCGTGTCCGGATGCCGGGGAGGACCTGGGAAGCTTCACCCCTGCTGTGGACCCCTCCCCATGGGCAGTCTGAGGGGGGCGGTCATGGCACCCTGACCCTGGGCACTGCCCCTGCCCCACAGCCCTCCGTGTATGAGCTCGTCCGGGCACCAGGTTTCGCCCACCTGCCCCTGGTCGTGGAGGACTTCGTGAAGGATGCAGGGGCCTGCTTCAGTGGTGAGCGGCTGGGCTGAGCATCTAGAGGGCTGTGGGAGCCCCAGCTGGGATGGCGGGGCAGGGGCGGCAGGGTCTCGGGAGCCGCCCTGCACGCGGCCTGAGGCCCCAGCGCTCGGGGTCTCCTGCAGCCAGCGAGCCTGACGCCGTGCACGTGGTGCTGGACCGCCACCTGGTCACCGGGCAGAACGCCAGCTCCACCATCCTGGCCGTGCAGAACCTGGTCTTCCTCTGCGGCAGCCGGTGAGGGGCAGCGGCAGGCGGCGGCAGCGGGACCCTGCCTGGTGCCCGGCCCCTTTGTCTGAACTGGCGTCTACCCCGCAGGAAGTGACAAGGCCCTGAATCAGGCCCCGAGCAGATGCTGCCACCTCCAGATGTCCTGGGTGTCCCCCGAGACTCTATGTCATGACACCCGGCCTGCCTGGCTCCTGGTGGAACTGCTGGGGGACTCTGAGGATCCTCCCTGAAGGGGTTGGCCTTGGGGGACAGGCCGTGCCGCTGACCATGGTGGGTCTCCCTGGGGAGGGGTGGGGAGGCAAGCAGGCTGCCTGCCAGCCCTGGAACACAGTCAGTCCTGGGGGGTCACAGAGCCTTCTGGGAAGCTGGGGCAATTGCTGGCCAAGACCCCGGGGTTCCGCTCCTGTGCTGATGGTCTTCCCAGGCCTCCCTGTGGTGTCCCCACCCCTTTGGGCCTTGGTGGGGGCGGACGCTGGCCTGGTGCATGGTCTCAGACCCGATGGTGACCCCATGTAAGGCCAGGGTGGACTCAGGTGGATGCTGCGGCGTCTCCATGTCCCTTCTGATATTAGGAGAAAGGCTCGTGGGTACAGCACACGGCTGCCTGCCAAATGGTGTCCAGGTCCTGACGGCCAGGCCTGCTTCCAGGTGGACGTGGCGTGAACTCCTCTTGGAGTGTGGCCGGCCATCCTGGGGTGGCGAACAGTCCTGGGCTGCCAGGTGGCTGTCCAGCCAGTGGACTCCAGTGCAGCCTGGGCGCGCTCCAGCGTCCTCAGGGTGCCCGCCCGGCCTGTGGCTCACAGCTGAGCCCCGGAGCTGCCCCGCCCACGTGTGTCACCTCTCAGCCTAGCTCTGCCCTGGTCAGCCCCTCAGGAGGAGGAGGGAGGCAGCCAGGCACCACAGACCAGGCTGTGGCCCTCCACGCGCCCCTCTGTGCCTGCAGCTCCAGACACCTGCTGGCCTCCACACCCTGGGCCTGGGCCCCTTCACCAGCCATCCCGTGTGCGGCACCAGCTGGTGATGGACCTGGCTGGACAAAAACACTTATTAAAATGGTAACGCAAATAAAAAAGAGAAAAATGATGACACCTCAGGGGCATCTTCTGAGTGTCCGTACCTGACCTGGGCAGGCTCTGCGGGGCAGGGCCCTCCCTAGCCCTCCTCGCTGGCCCCGCTTGGCTGGGTCTCCAGGCCCAGGGCAGTGGGATGGGGGGGATGTGGCCTAGGACCCAGCAAGGGGCCCCTAGTATTTCCCACATGCTCAGTGTTGAAAACAGACCCTGAGCTCCGAGTCCACGAAAACGGCGTGTGGGCGTCTGTGGTGGTTCTTTTCGATGAGTCGTAGCTTCCATAAAAGGAGTGTTCTCGTTAATGGACAGTATTCATATCATACTCAGTGAAGAAAGCCAGGTGAGATATCCAGGAGAGTGACAGTGGACTGGCCGTTTGTGGGAGGGCACGGGGTCAGGTTGGGGGACCAGGGTGTCCCACGGCGCTGGCTCCAGGGGGTTGGGCCCGTGAGCAGGTGGCCTTCATGTGTCAGCCATGTCCGCTGTCTGCGCTCAGGCCCCGGGCCAGGCGGCATAGTGAGTGACTTCCACCTCCTAGGACACAGCCTGTTGACCAGCTCAGCGCAGAGTCTGGGGTTGCTAGAGGCTTGCAGGAAGCCACAGCCCTCTGACCCAAACTGCCGAGGCAGTCACGGGAGGCTGGGAGAAGCCCCGCCCTGTCAGTGTGGCCCACTTGGCGCCTGCCCTGAGCCCTGCCCACCCAGCACTGCTCCTGCTTCTGGGGAGGGCGGCCAGAGGCAGCTCCAGAGCCACACTCCCAGGGGCCCCGCTTCCGTGCAGGGAGCTGTGGGGAACAGGCCTGGCCTGGCAGGGGCCCCAGGGAGGGGAGTGGGCACATTCAGACCCGAGGTGTGTCCCGCAGGCCCGCCCCAACACCTGGCCCCCCTGGTGCAGACTTGGACACCCACCCACCCCCTCCTGCTCCTGGGCCATCCCCCCGACCCTGCGTTCCCTGCCCTGACCCCCTTCACTGTTCCAGGAACTCGGGCTGGAGAGGAAGGGGCTCCCCCGTGGCCCCCTCGTCACCACCCCCCGCCAAGCCCCACAGCGCAGCACACCTGCTGCAGAGTCCAAATGGTGCAGCAAAGTGTCTGCACACGCTGCCCGCCTCTGCTTGGGTCTGAGGCCCGTACACCTTACACTGTCCCCACAAGGTGGCGCCACCCCCCCAAAGGAACCTGGGCCCAAGGAAGTTGTGTGTGTGGGGGAACACCGGGTGTCCCCACAGCAGGCCCTCCACCAGGGCAGCAACGCCCTGCCCGGCTCCACAGGCACAGCCTAGAAGCCTGGGGGTCCCCGCGGGGCTGCTGACCTAACCCCGCCTTCATCAGGCCCCAGGAAGGAGACGGACAAGAAAGAAAAGAAAGGGCTTTAATGCGCTGAGCAGAATTTTACATAAAATCAGAAATCTATGATTTGTTCCCGCTCCAATTAGTAAAAAAAAATCCAAGATTCATCACAAAGCATGTGCAATTAGGCCCCAATGCAGAGACGCACAGATCCGTGCTCCAGCCTCAGGTGCCGCGCTATTTTCCATTCTCTGCGCTGAACATCCGTTCCTGGAGATGAGTGGTGTGAGCTGGTGCACCCACCAGGCTTGCCCTCTGCCCCCAACCCTGCCCTTGGCCAGGCCCACCACCCTGGGCCCGCAGGCCCCTCCTGCCCACGTGCCCGTTCCAACCGTGGCCCCGACGCTCACCCTCAGCATCCGCTCCAGCTTCACAGCGTCCGCAGCAAACCTGCGGATCCCGTCAGAGAGCTTCTCCACGGCCATGCGGTCCTCGTTGTGCAGCCAGCGGAAGGCCTTCTCGTCCAGCTGGATCTTCTCCAGGTCGCTGGCCTGGGCTGCAGAGCACATGCCCGGGATGTGGGCTCAGGGCCGCCCTTGCCCAATGAAGCCCAGTGCCGGGTGGAGGCAACCTGCCCCGAGGCTCCAGGTTCCACAGCCTCAAGAGAGCAAGGCACTGGTTCCCGTGGGGCCCTAGGCTGGCGGAAGGCAGGAGGCGGCGGTCTTACCTGCTTTGGCCGAGAGCACGGGCGTCAGCTTGCTGTGGTCCTTGAGCAGCTCCCCCAGGAGCTGGGGTGAGATGGTGAGGAAGTCACAGCCGGCCAGGGCCTTGATTTCTCCCGTGTTGCGGAAGGAGGCGCCCATGACGATGGTTTTGTAGCCGAACTTCTTGTAATAGTTGTAGATTTTGGTGACGCTCTTCACTCCTGGGGACACACACCGGAGCTGCCATCCGTGCCGCCCAACCCTCAGTCCTGGGGCCCCCTGAGAGCACACGACAAAGCACCCCTCTGCCCTGGCCTGGGGGGCCACTCACCAGGGTCCTCCTGGGGCTCGTAGGACTTCTTGTCTGTGTTGGCCACGTGCCAATCGAGGATGCGGCCCACGAAGGGCGAGATGAGCGTCACGCCGGCCTCAGCACAGGCCACGGCCTGGGCGAAGGAGAAGAGCAGCGTCATGTTGCACCGGATGCCGTGCTGCTCCTCCAGCTCCCTGTGGGGACGGGACACGTGTGCGAGTCAGTCCGAGAGGCAGGGATGGGGTCGCTCCATCCTCGTGAGTAATTCTGGAACGTTCACCAGCATGAGCTCAGGCCAGTGGCTTGTGGCGACCAAACCTCATCAAACCCACATTTCAGAACAGGGACCAAGGTGAGAAGTCCCCTGAAAGCTGCAGACACAGTCCTCCTCTCGTCACAGAACCTCTGTGCTGGGCCAGTGCAGGAGACACGGGTTCAGTCCCTTGTCCGGAAAGATTCCACATGCCTGGAGCACCGAAGCACGCTCCGCAACAAGAGGAGCCACCACAATGAGAAGCCCCCACCCTCCCACCTGGAGAAAAGCCAGGTAGCCGTGAAGACCCAGCACAGCAGATAAAAAAAGGAATCTCTGGGCTGGAGATCACGGAGTCGGCTCCAACCACAGCACCATCCTGCCTCAATCCCACAGCCTCACTGGCCCCACGGCCCCCACCTGCCCTCTGGGTCAGCCTGCAGAAAGCCTGTCCCCCAGATGACACGTCAGGGCCAACCATGAGAAGGGGGCCTGGCCACGCTCTACCATCTGCCAGCTGAGTTCCTGTCCCAGCAGATGGTTTCAGAGGCGCCCTGCTGCCGGGCCACAGGGAAGCGGTCAAGAAGCACAGCCTCGAGGGCACAGGGCTGCCTCGGTGGCCAATGCCACGAGCACCGAGCCAACAACTCCATCACTGGTGTGTGCACACACTCAGCATTACCCGACAAAGGCAGCCATGTGCCCCAGGAGGATGTGCCTGGAAGGTGCACTGTACACACACAGGGAGACCTCCTTAAGGGGGACGCAGCTCCAGTACAGGCGTGGCACACGTGAACCTGGAACACGAGCCAAGCAAGGGAAGCCACACATGAAGGCCACGTGCGGTGCAATCTCGTCCCTCGGAAGCACTGAGGCAGAAGGCTGCGGGGCCGTAATAACACAGGGACCTGTGGGGGTGCACAGGCGCTCCCAGGAAAGCCAAGCCTGGGTGCCAGGGCAGCATCCTGTCCACGCCCGCCTGCCTCCTCCGCGCCCAGCGTGCTTGGGGGGAGCCGACTCCCACTCTGTCCTCAGCTAGCAGCACCGCGCAGGCCCGCTGCCCCAGAGGCCCACCCAGGACGGGCAGAGGCCCCAGCAGCTCCCCACTCACGGGACACTTACTTTCCAGCCTGAATTCCTTCCCAGGTGGACGACAGCTTTATCAGGATCCGCTCCTTGCTGACCCCGGCCTCCTTGTATAGCTCGATGAGGCGCCGGGCGCGGGCCACCATCGCATCCTTATCAAAGGAGAGCCTGCGGGGGACGGGGTGCCCGGCTTGCAGCGGCTGAGGGGACCGACGCAGACGCAGGGCGGAGACCAGGTGCCCAGAGCAGCGCATGGCCATGTGGGGAGCCGCGAACAACAGCAGCTGCTGCTCCTGACCCCCCACCCGTCAGCCCTGCGTCCTTACCTTGCGTCCACTTCCGTGGATACGCGGCCTGGAATTTTCTTCAGTATTTCTGCCCCAAACAACACAAAAAGTTTATCAATAGCATTTGTAATCTGTTCCTCTTGTGACCTGAAATTCCAAGGGAAAAAATTAGGTTAGAAGCTTGTTAGGTTTAAATGCACAGGATTCTACAAAAATTCTTACTTGCTCCCCAAATTATTTTCCCACCATCTGTTTTTCTTAAAAAACTTTTAAAGTGGTGATAAAACACACATAGCAGAAAACTTACCATCTTATCCATTTTTTTTTTTTTAATTTTGGAAACACCACACATCTCACAGGACAACTCAGTTCCCCGACCAGGGATGGAACTTGAGCGCAGCCACCCTCTTCCCCATTCTGACCCAACCAGTTAGGGCACTGAGCACGTTCACACTGGTGTGACCATGCCCACCTTCATCTCCACAATGTTTCCTTCCTTCAAGCTGAACCCTGTCATCTTTGGGGGCTTGAACAAAACACTCTTCCCAACTTCTCTGATGCTGCCTGAGCAGATGAATAAGGTGCACAGTGTGGCTCCAAGATGGACTGGAAGGATCTCTGGCCTGAGAGCAGGGCCAGTCTGGTGATCACTGCGGGCACTGCCTCGTCACCAGTTCCAGAAGCATCGAGAAGTGAGGGGAGCCGCCAGTATGGGGTGCAAGGTGGGGGGCAGAGCAGGCCCAGGGCATGACTGCCACCCCTGCACACGGCTGACCTCAGCACCCGGGTGCCAGAGAGGGGCAGTCCAGCCCAGCACAGCTCCTGCCAGGGGCCACTGTTCCCTGCGAGCCCACTCTCAGCTGAGCAGTACCACCCAGATGAACACTTAACATGATATCCAGCAAAGGCGAGTCTATGGAGAGATGAGCCAGTCTGGTCACAGGCGGAGGCACTAGAGAACATTCCAGGAGGCGAGAACATTCTCGGACTGGACTGTGGCTGCACCACTGTGTACGTGAACGCGTCAGAATGAACTGGACTGCTCACTGAGACAGTGACTCTCATTCCAACAAAACTATCAGAAGTTAACAAAATGCCAGAAAGCAGCTCCACGGCTGCCAGGGCTGAGGACATTGACTACAAACGGGGGAAGGACTTCTGGGGTGCTGTCCACATGCTCCTGCCACCAAAACTCAGTGAACTGTTCACTCACAATGGGTGATGCCCGCAAGAAAGCAGACAGCTTTCTTTCCCGGAGCCTAAAACACTGGAGAACCGGCCTCACGGGTGGGAAGCAAGCAGACCTGGCCGGCAGCCATGGCCCCACACTCACCCGCCCAGCTTCCTGCCGTAAGCAATGGCCTCCTCCACCAGCTCCTGGTAGGTGGGCATCTGTGCCGCGGCCAGGATCAGGGATGGATTGGTGGTGGCATCCTGGGGCTTGTACTCGTCGATGGCTGGGAAGTAATTGTGGGAAGCAGGGGTCAGTGGAGTGCCCACTTCCACCCAGAAACCTGAGACGACCCCTGCAAGCCCTAAACACAGGAACAGAGCCAAGTAGGGCGCGGCCGCACTTCATGCAGGAAGGCTGGCCAAGAGGCAGCTGCACGCAGCGAGGAAACCTGGAGGCTAAGCCAGCGAGCGGCCGTGCCAAGAGCCGAGAGCTGGCCAGCGCCAAGGAGCAAGGAGGGAGACGGCCAGGAGGAGACTGGCAGCGTCCGGAGGTGCTGGCGCCCAGGTCAGCCGCAGAGGGGCTGGACACGGGTCTTCAAACTATTCTCTTTTAACACACGTGTTCCTTCTCGATAACCAGGCGGGAGTTCCAAAGAGTCTCAAGGCCCCGGCTGTCACAGGGCAGTGCTGAGCTCAAGTTCATCAAAACTCAGCTTCCAGGATTAGCCGGTTCCGTAAGTTGATTTGGCAAGTTAGCATTTTCAAAGTATCTTCTGATGACAAAAGTACAGAGATGGAAAACAGGGAAGGGGGATGGCTCTCAGGGGCTGGGAACAGCTGTATCCTAACTGTCCTGGACGACCCCTCCTCTGTGCAGCTGGAAACCAGTGAACACAGGGCCGGCCTGCAGCCTGTTCACAGCACCGTGCTGGCACCAAGTCCCCCGTTCTGATGTCACACCATGGCCACACAGAACAGCCGGGGGAGTGATGGCAGAAGGATTCATGGGACCCTATGGGCTAATTCTGCAACTTCCTGGAGTCTATTAATTATTTCAAAATAACAAGTTAAGAAAGCATGCTCTGGAGTGGAACTTACACAGATGTGTTGAAACCCAGTGTAATTCGCTGAAGATAGTACCTAGATAAAGCTGACTTTTAACAAAACTAAAAGTTTTGTTGATGGGCGTCAGGCTCCAGGGACCCTTAAACAGAATACAAAACCTGGCGTGGGGCATCGTGCTGGGAAGAGCATCTACAGCTTTGACTTATTTTCAAAGAGCTTTGTGACACCCCAAAGGCAAGACCCTTCAGTCCATAAAGCAACCGTAAAACTGAATTTACAACTATGTAAGATTTAGATATATATGGGCTTCCCTGGTAGCTCAGTTGGTAAGTAATCTGTCTACAATGCAGGAGACACAGGTTAGATCCCTGGGTTGGGAAGATCCCCTGGAGAAGGGAATGGCTACCTGCTCCAGTATTCCACAAAGGAGCTTGGTGGGCTGCAGTCCATGGGGTCACAAAGAGACGAACACACACCTACTGTACTATACACATTATCAATAAACGTGTTTTTAAACAAAGTCGTTAACATTCACTTAGCAATCTTAAATGTCAGCACTTGAGTTTAAAGCAAACATTCCCCAAGACTCCTCCAGACGTGCTGGGCCTACAGTGACAGAAGTTAAGGGTTAAAGTTAACCCTAAGACCAGCCAGCCTGCAGCTGCTGCCCAGTGAAACCCAACGGGAAAACAATACAGACCAGGGCTTCATTGACTCAGCAAAGATGGGAAATACTCCACACTAAGAAGGAGCGAACAACTTCCCTGGTGATTCAGTGATTAAGAATCTGCCTGCCAATGCAGGGGACAGGAGTTCGATCCTTGGGCCCAGAAGACCCCACATGCCCTGGGGCAACTAAGCCTGGTGCACCTCAACTACTGAGCCTCAAGCCATTAGTACCGAGCCCCTGAGCCCGAAACTCCACGCTCCACAAGAGAGACCGCCCACAGTGAGAGGCCCCCCACTGCAGCTGGAGCCCAGCCCCCGCCTGCCGCAACGAGAAACGCCCCGCGACAACAGGGACCCAGTGTAGCCAAAACCAAATAGAATCAAAACCAAAAAGGAGCAGAGAGACGTGCAGCCACTTTCCCAGACCTTCTATCCTGGCGAGGTCATTGCCAGGGGCCTGCACCAGGGAGGGAGGGGTGGAAAGAGGCCAGTGGCCTCGCAGGTCAGTGGGAGCTGGAATTTGCCAGGGCCCCCAGCTCTGACCAGGAGGGAACCTTCTGTCAGCTGGTTTAATGTACAGGTTGGACTCAAGCCCATCACCGTCTCCAGCGTTTATATTTAAGCAGCCAAATATGCTTACTCATTTTCCTCAGCTCTGAGATAAGAGTCTTATTCTTACCAAAGAGGAAATAAAGCCTGTTTCTCAAGTCACCATGAGAAAGCAAAAACGAGGAAGTCCCATCCCTACCGTGTGCCCCGGAGCACTCCCAGCCACGGAGCATTTCACTATTTCTCTGACACCCCTCACGGTTCCCAGCAGATCGGAATGGAGGCTCACCTAGTCTGGGTTTGCGCTGCAGAGGATGGGAAGGCCAAGCCCCCCAGTTCCGTCCCAGGAAGGTGAGTCAAGCCAGGAAAACCTAAACCTGGGGCAAGCTTTGCCTGCCTCCCTACAGTGAGTGGGGTTTTACCCCCGGGGGCTCCTTGGTCCCAGGCGGCGAACGTCTAACTGGCCCGCACCCGGCCATGGTCACCAGCGTGCACAGCTGTACCCTGGGCAGGGGTGGAAAGTGTGTGCAACACCGGGTTTCAAAAGCAGGGGGTGTCATTCGCAGTGTCTGGTCTCTCTGGGCCCAGAACTAATTCATATTCCCCATGTAACCACAAGTGGTTCGCGACTCCAGGGCGCCCCTCAACCGCGCGCCCGCGCTCCCGGGCCCTCCCCTGCCTCCCCGCACCGCCAGGCCGACCGGCGCCCCGCGCGCCCGAAGTCCCTCACTGCTGTCCGGCCCGCTCCCTGAGCTCGGGGGCCAGCGCGGTCTCACCGTGGAAGTCGCCCGTGTCGGCCACCACTGTGGTGAACTGCTTGAGCTGGTCCAGCGCGTTCTCCATCCTCTGCCGCTTCACCGGGGAGCCCGACATGGCGAGCGGCGGAGCGAGCGGGGGGCCCACAATGCCCCGCGGGCCCCGCCCCCGGCCGCAGCCAATCCGGACGCGGCGCGGGAGGGCGGACCTGCGCGCTGGCCCCGGCGGGGACCCCGCCCCCGACGCGGCGGCCACGTGCCCGGGAGGGCCGCCCAGCCCCCGGCACGGCCCCCGGCCCCCGGCCCCGGGAGCTGCGCCTCAGGAGCTGTAAGCACCCTGGGCGATGTGCCCCGGGGCGGCTTCCCGGAGCGATGAGTCCCCCCGGGCGGTATGCCCTCAGACGCGGTTATGCCGGAGCGACGCACATCCTTCTAGTGATGCAGCCCCTGGATGGTTTCCAGGGAGCGATGAACCCCCGAGCGGTGATCCCCGGAGAGGCGCGCCCGCCTCCATGCCCTGTCCCTGAGGGCCGTGATTCCCGGAGCGTGCACCCCCTGTAGCGGAGCGCTTCCGGGGCGTGGGAGCGACTAGTTCCCCAGACTGATCCGTGCCCGCGGCGCAGCGCCCCGCGAGTGAAGCACACCCAGGGCGGTGCGGTCCCCGACGGCGCGCCGACTCACTTCCCTCCTCTGTCGTTTGCAGCGGGAACTGGAGTGAGGGTCGTCGATCATCAAGGGGTTAAGACTGAGGCTTCAGGCCACGGTCGAGCGGCGTCTCAGGGAGACCTGGACTCCTGAGACTGCGTCTGAGCCGCCGCCTCAGAAGACAATGACAGGTATGCCCGGGTATGCGGGCCTGGGTCTGGGTCGCTGCCTCTCGCCCCCCGGCCGTCCTGAGGCCAGGGGCACCCAGGGTACAAGTCCTCTCCTTGAGGCCAAAATCTCACCTTCTCTGTACTCTGGTGTGGAATCCAATCTCGGTGACAGAGTTTTGGGTGAAGTAGAAAAGGATTGGGCTTCCCAGGGGGCTCAGTGATAAAGAATCCACCTGCCAAGCCAGAGACACAGGTTCAATTCCTTGGTCAAGAAGCTCCCCTGGAGAAGGAAATGGCAACCTACTCCAGTATTTTTGCTTGGGAACTTCCATGAACAGAGGAGCCTAGTGGGTTACAGTTCATGGGGTGCCAAAGAGTTGGAGACAATTTAGCGACTAAACAACAAGAGCAAGAAGAAATGGACAGCTTTATTGCTTTGCCAGCAAAGAGGTACACAGCGGGCCCCTGTCTTCAAAACTACCTGGGGAAGATAGTGACAAGTTTTATATTAATTATCCAAAGAGGGTATGATCAGCTTGTCGACATTCTTCTAATAAGTTCGTGAGGTAAGCTGGAGTCAACGCCATCAAACTTCAGGTCCAGCTGGTCTGGGGTCTCCATGCTTGTGGGGAGCCTGCTGTCATTAACAGTTAACTTCTCCACTTGGAGAAGCTTCAGTGTCTGCAGAAGAGCTCAAAGATATAGATATGTCTGTCTGCTGATGGGAAAACAGGACCCTGTCCTAAGACTGATTTTTCTACCTGTTCTCACATCCCCTCCCTTCCCTAAAGAACAACTACTTGAATCTGCCATTGAAACTCAGGGAAGGTCATGGAGGCTGAGTGAAAGCTGTTTCCTGTAATAAAAGAAATGGAGACACAGAGGTGTCATGCCCAGGACCCCCACAGTACCCTGCACAGGCCTGGCAGCTGCTCCAAGCCCTCCTAGGTTGGGTGGGCCTGGAGGCTGGGGAGGGGCTGAAATCAGGCTTGTGGTTTCATTTTTTCTTGTGGATCCAGAACCCAGGATAGGCCATTGATACTGGGAACCACATCTGGGAATACCTCCTAGGGAAGTAGTACTAAGTTTAGAAGTATGAAATAAAATTCACATTTTATGGGAAGACAAACAAAATGTAAACATAAAAACTTTTCTCTGCGCTTTGACTTCCTCTCTCCCGCACTGTGCACCCTGTGTCTGCATTGCACACGGATCATGGCTGCCGTCACCGTCTGCAGTGATTTTGGAGCCCAAGAAAATAAAAGTGTCACTGTTCCCATTGTTTCCCCTTCTACTTGCCATGAAGTGATGGGACTGCATGCCATGATCTTAGTTTTCTGAATGTTGAGTTTTGAGCCAGCTTTTTCACTCTCCTCTTTCACTTTCATCAATAGGCTCTTTAGCGCTTCACTTTCTGCTATAAGGGTGGTGTCATCTGTATATCTGAGGTTATTGGTATTTCTCCCGGCAATCTTGATTCCAACTTGTGCTTCATCCAGCCTGGCATTTCGCATGATGTACTCTGCGTATAAGTTAAATAAGCAGGGTTACAACATACAGCCTTAATGTAGTCCTTTCCCAATTTTGAACCAGTCTGTTATTCCATGTCCGGTCCTAACTGTTGCTTCTTGACCTGCACACAGATTTCTCACGAGGCAGGTAACGTGGTCTGGTATTCCCATCTCTTTAAGAATTTTCCAGTTTGTTGTGATCTATGCAGTCAAAAGCTTTGGCATAATCAATAAAGCAGAAGTAGATGTTTTTCTGGAATTCTTTTGCTTTTTCTATGATCCAACGGATGTTGGCAACTTGATCTCTGGTTCATCTGCCATTTCTAAATCCAGCTTGAACATCTGGAAGTTTATGGTTCATGTACTATTGAAGCCTGGCTTGGAGAATTTTGAGCATTACTTTGCTAGCATGTGAGATGAGTGCAATTGTGTGGTTATTTAAACATTCTTTGGCATTGCCCTTCTTTCGTACTGGAATGAAAACTGACCTTTTCCAGCCCTGTGGCCACTGGACAAAGTGAGTCGCTCAGTTTTGTCCATTTCTTGTAAACCCATGGATTATACAGTCCATGGATTTCTCCAGGCCAGAATACTAGAGTGGGTAGCTGTTCTCTTCTCCAGGGGATCTTCCCAACCCAGGGATCGAACCCAGGTCTTCTGCACTGCAGGCAGATTCTTTACCAGTTGAGCTACCAGGGAAGTTGGTAGCTCAACAATGGCAGAAAGCAAAGAGGAACTAAAGAGCCTCTCAGTGAAGGTGAAAGAGAAGAGTGAAAAAGATGGCTTAAAACTCCACATTCAAAAAACCAAGATCATGGCATCGGGTTCCATCACTTCATGGCAAATAGATGGGGGAAAAATGGAAACAGTGACACTTTTATTTTCTTGGGCTCTAAAATCACTGCAGACAGTGACTGTAATTATGGAATTAAAAGACGTTTGCTCCTTGGAAGAAAAGCTATTACCAACCTAGACAGCATCTTAAAAAGCAGAGACATTACTTTGCCAACAAAAGTCCATATAGTCAAAGCTATGGTTTTTCCAGTAGTTGTGTATGGATGTGAGAGTTGGGCCATAAAGAAAGCTGAGTGCCAAAGAACTGATGCTTTCAAACAGTGGTGTTGGAGGAGACTCTTGAGAGTCCCTGGGACTGCAAGGAGATCAAAGCAGTCAGTCCTAAAGGAAATCAGTCCTGAATATTCATTGGAAGGACTGATGCTGAAGCTGAAACTCCAATACTTTGGCCACCTAATGCGAAGAACTGACTCTTTGGAAAAGACCCTGATGCTGGGAAAGATTGAAGGCAGGAGAAGAGGGCGACAGAGGATGAGATGGTAGGATGGCATCACCGACTCAATGGACATGAGTTTCAGCAAACTCGGAGATGGTGAAGGACAGGGAAGCCTGGTGTGCTGCATGCAGTCTATGGGGTCACAATGAGTCAGACACGATTGAGTGAACAACAGTGATCCAGGCCGTCAGGTGAAAGAACAGTGTCACCGCCCTTCTGCGGGCTTGAATCGTCGCTATGACAGCCCTACTTCGCCTTCATAAGGTCAGTCTCCTGCCAGATGCAGAGGAGCTGGAGACATAAGTCTCTTGTCTCCCTGCACAGGGCAGTCATTGCCCCTCCCCTGGGCAGAGGAAGTGGGCAGAGTTGTAGCCCACTTAATCCTTGGGCAGAACTTCCTCCCCGCCACAACTGTACCTTTTACACACGTCCTATGTTAATAAACCTACTTCTGCCGAACACCTTGCTTCTCACTGAATTCCCCCTGTGCTGAGGCACAGAGAACCTGAGCTTCATTGAGTCCTGAGACCAGCTGTGTAGTCTTAGTTGGGAGACTGTGGGTTTAGTCTGGGTCCGAGTCCTGGTCACGTGGGTTTGAGCCCCAGTCTGAGGCAAACGGTTTCAGCGTTTCAGGAGTCTCAGTCCTCAACCTCTGGCTCCAGTCAGTCCGGAGTCTGCCAGCCTGTGTCTGTAAGTCTCACCATCCACCAGGCAGGGAGGCCTCAGTTCCTGGACAGCTCAGAGAATTCCGGCAGGAGCAGCTGGGGCTGTTTTGTCCTCAAGTATTGTCTTTGTTTCTCTCGTTTAGCCTTGTCTCCCTCACTTCTGTGATTAGTAACTGCCTGTCCCTGCTCTTTGGACTCAGGAAGGGGCTGAAATTAGAAACTTTTTCAACAAAAGAGAAGCAAGGGACGCAGAGGGGCTTTTGTGCCCGGGTGGCCCCCAGGTCCTGCTGGGTTTCAGAAGGGACGAGGAAGCTTTCTGGGTGATGGGAGTGTTTTACAGCTGAGGTTTCAGGGTGAGGCAGGACCAGCAGCATCGGTTCTGCGGGGAGCTTGCCTTCTCTCCTTAACTGATTTATTTTTGGCTGCATCAGTCTCGGTCGGGCTCGCGGCTCCTCCTCGCGGCCCCGGCTTCTCTGCAGTTGTTTGGGCCCCAGAGCGCGTGGCTCTCTACTTGCAGTGCTCGCCCTGGTTCCCCCACCAGGAATGTAACCTGAAGCCTCTGCATTGGAGGTGCAGAGTCAACCCCTGGGCCACCTGCAAGTCTCTCCCTCCAGGAAGTTTCTGAGAAGTCTGTTTTCTGGCTGCTTAGGAAGCCTGGCTGATTGTGGTGCAGGGCAGGCTCTGAGAATACTGGCTCGGTATTTTTAAGGATCGTTCAGTGTAGACAATTCACAAAACACAACAAAATGCAAACCCTCACAAACAATACCTGCTTGGCGTCTATTGGATCCCAATAGAAGTGTCTTAGGGGGCTTCTCAGGTGGTGCTGGTGGTAGGGAACCCGCCTGCTGATACAGAGAACATGAGACAAGGGTTTGATCCCTGTGTCGGGAAGATCCCCTGGAAAAGAATACCAGTATTCTTGCCTGGAGAATCCCATGGACAGAGGCGCCTGGAGGCTACAGTCTATGGAGTCACAAAGAGTTGGACATGACTGAGCAGCTAAGACGTCCACTCCAGTGTTCTTGCCTGGAGAGCAGCAGGCACAGAGGAGCCGGGTGGGATACAGTCCATAAGGTTGAAAAGAGTCAGACCCTGAGCAACTTGGCACACAGGCACTCAAGCGTCCTGGGGTGGAAGGCCGCACAGAGGCGGGGCAGGGCCTGCCTGCCAGGAGTCCTTCTGCCCATATGGGCCCCGCCCCGGGGAGGGGAGAGAGGAGGGACGCTCCAGGGGAAGGAGGGGGCGCGTTGGCCTGCAGGAGGCCCCTCCCTAGCTGTGCTCTGGCAGGCACCCACCCCCTGGCCTCAGTCAGGTCTTCAGCAGAGCTCAGCCCCTGTGGGCTGAGAACAGCTGATACAACACGGCGGAGGCAAGGCGCTGGGCCTGGCAGGAGGAGGGGGTCTGGCTGGCCAGGGCTCCGGGGGCCATGGTCACTTCCAGGAGCTGCGGGCCATGAGGGAGGTGGCCGCGGACCTGGCCCCTGACACTGTGTTGACTCAGGGAACACTGGATGTCTCTCCCAACCTATGACAAGAAAAATGTAATGATGAAATTCTCTCCACCCGTTTGAGCTCCCCCGCCGCTGCTGGGTGTGGGCGGGTCTGCGTTAGCCTCCTTAGGGGCCCATTCTGTCTCAATCTTGCAGAGTCGCCCTCTGTGCTGCAGGTCTGAGTTGTGTAAACAGGCCCACATGTCCTGTAACCCGTAGTCTCTAAAGCTTTCGTAACTGTGCCTTGACCACAACTGGGCGGAATAGTCCTCAGCTTCTCCAAGACTGTCTCCAGGGTCATAATTGTCAGGTTGGCTCAAACCACTTTTTTCTATTTCATTTTGAGATTGGTTATTGATTATTTTTTCACTGAAACCAGGGAGAGGCAAGCAGTCAGGGGCTGCCTGGGGGCAGGTCTTGTTCCCCCATCAGCGGACACACAGCTGCATCTCTGAGCTCTGCAGAGTCTGAGACCCCCTCCAGGTGGGAGAAACGAACGGTTAATGATGACATGTTGCCCACAAGCACAGAGGCCCCGGGCCAGCTGGACCTGAAGGGTGACAATGTGGACCCCTGCTTACCTCACCACGAATCCATCAGAAGAATGTCCATGAGCTGATCACGTCCTCTTTGTCACTATCATCCCAGGGTAGAGACACAGAGATTTCGAGAGCATGAGCCCTCTGTGTCTCCCTTGCCTGGCAAAGCAATGATACTCTCCTTTTCAACTTCACCCAATGGTCTCACTGGGCCTCAGTCCCACTGGGCGGAGAGGCTGGGTTTTTGGCCCCAGCTGTGACGATGGTGCAGGGCGATGGCTGGTGCCCCGTCCACCAACTCTCTGACCTCAGGGGCCGGTGTGGCTCAGAAAGGGGGAGTCCAGAGAACCCACAGGCACTGCGTCACCACGTGGACGCTCTAACACAAACCCAGACAGGGGTTGTGCAGGGCCAGCATTTGAAACATAAGTTTAGGGGGCTGGGGTACCGCTAAAGCCTCAGGGTCGCAGAAGGAGCGAGGTGTGGTGGGAGAGCTCCTGGGAGAAGGTTCTCCGGCGGCCGGCTGGCCGGCTCTGACTGACCCAGAGGGGCCAGTGCTGCCGAAAGCTTGGCTCTCTGTGCTCCGGCGCCAAGCAGAAATATGACAGAGTTTTGGAGAAGGAAAGGATGGCTTTGTTTGCCAAGCAACGGGCAAACACATTAGGCCAGCGCCTTAAGAACTGTGCCCCTCTCCCTGGTGAGTAGGGAGAGGCTGTATCCCCAGTGGTGGGTGATAAGGATCAAGGCAGTAACAGTTCTGCATTCTTCTTCTGCAGTTTCAGAAGGGTGGGGTTGCTGACAAGACTGGGGTGTGTGCAGGGTCTGGTCCTTTTAATCTTTATTTCTTTATGTCTGGCTGGGTCCTCCTCGGCTGTGGCACACAGGCTTAGTCATCCTGTGGCATGCGGAGATTTCCTGGACCGGGGATTGGGCCTGTATCCCTGAATTGGCAGGTGGATACTTTTTAAAAAATATTTCATTATTTCATTCAATGTATCTGGCTGTGATGTGTCTCAGCCGCGGCCCAAAGGACCCTCGGGACGCTGTCTCACTGCAGCGCAGGCCCCCAGTGGTGCGCAGGGCTCAGCGTTCGCAGAGCATCAGGCAAGGGGCACGTTCCCTGACCCGGGACTGAGCCTGCATCCCCTGCCCCACAAGGCCAGCTCCCAGCCCCTGGACCTCCAGGCCAGTCCTGAGACCATTTACTATAGACTAACCCTCCATCTTCCAACTGAGATCACAGACCTGTTTCAGGACCTAATGAAGCTCAGATTCTTGATGTGTCATTGCAGAAAGAATGCAGTGAGAGACAAAGTGATTGATAGGTAAGAACTGAATTTATTTATAAACAAAGGCCCATCTAGTTAAAGTTATGGTTTTTCCAGTAGTCATGTATGGATGTGAGAGTTGGACCATAAAGAAAGCTGACCACTGGAGAATTGATGCTTTTGAACTGTGGTGTTGGAGAAGACTCTTAAGAGTTCCTTGGACTGCAAGGAGATCAAACCAGTCAATCCTGAAGGAAAACAGTCCTGAATATTCATTGGAAGGACTGATGCTGAAGCTGAAACTCCAATACTTTGGCCACCTGATGCGAAGAACTGAGTCACTGGAAAAGACTCTGTTGCTGGGAAAGATTGAAGGCAGGAGGAGAAGGGGACAACTGGAGTGGGTAGCCTATCCCTTCTCCAGGGGATCTTCCTGACTCAGGAATAGAACAGGGGACTCCTGCATCCCAGGCAGATCCTTTACCAGATGAGTCGCCAGGAAAGCCCAAGGATAGGGTGAAAGTGAAAGTGAAGTTGCTCAGTGGCATCCGACTCTTGGCAACCCCATGGACTTTACCTGCCAGGCTCCTCCACCCATGGGATTTTCCAGGCAAGATTACTGGAGTGGGTTGCCATTTCCTTCGCCAGGGGATCGTCCCAACCCAGGGATCGAACCCAGGTCTCCTGTATTGCAGGCAGACTTTTTACCGGCTGAGCCACAATGGGGTAAACAACCACAATTGGAGCGATAGAACCTCCATGAAAACCCAAAAGAAGGAGGTTCAGAGAGCATCTATCTTGGTGATCCAGAAAGCTTCCACGTGCCAGGCCCCAAACTCCACAGGGACAGAAACCCCTGCGTTCGGAACTCTCCAAAACTTCAGCCTGGGTAACTCTCCATCTGGCGGTTCTTTCATACTCTTTAATATCCTTTATAATCAACTAGCGATCTACTAAGTAAACTGGCTTCTTGAATTCTGTGAGCGGCTCTAGCAAATTAATCTCATCAGAGGAGGGGGTCACGGGAAGCTCCGTTCTGTGTTCGGTTGGTCAGAAGCCCAAGCGGACCTGGGCCATCTGAAGGGGGGCCGCTGTGCCCCGTCTCTGCGCCTAGGTCTCTCCTGCTCCCCATGCCCTGGGGGGGTCCTCTGGGGACATCCCAGACCTCCCCGCACATCACAGGTGGTGCTGGACCTCAGCCTGTGTCCTGCTCTGGCCGTCTGAGAGGTGGAAGTGGAGTGTGCGCCTTTCCTGGTGGTGGCCGAGTTCGAGTCTCTGCCCAGGGACGTTTGCAGCCCAGCTTCCCTGGGGAACATGGACACCACCCCTCATTTTCTCCAGTCCGTCCGGGGCTGCCCAGCTCCCCAGGCTCCGTCTCTTATTATTGGTCTCCTCATAAATTCTGTGTCAGCAGTTATTAAATTATTGGGCCTCAGGACACTTTTACACACTTAAAAATTATTAACGGCCCCAAAGAACTTTTCACTTGTGGGTGTTATCCATCCATATTTACTGTATTAGAAAATAAAACTGTGAAAATTTAAAGACCCGCATTTATTCTTTCTTTTGCAATAACAGTGACAGACAGTTGCAGAAAACATCAACATCGCCGTTTTCCTCAGCTGATCCTCTAAACTCACTTCTAACCCTCTATGTGCTCACCAATCCTGAACCAATTATGTCTTGAATTTGCCCAATTCTAGTCCCAGCCTCAAATCTCATGCACAACTTACCCTCACCCCCCAGACCCTGCCAAGACTCTCAGGGTAGCTGAGCCCGAGCAGCTTTATCCACATGTCCCTTCGTGGCATTTTGGGGAGCCAGGATTCAACACATAAAGAGCAGATTTCTATGAAAAATAAGAAGAGTGGCATGAATACATGTCTTTACGAATCTCCCTGACGTCGGGCTTCCCAGCAGCAGCCGGACCTCATCTCCATGTCCACCTTCACTCTGTTGGGGACACCATCCTGGCCGAAGCATCCAGAGAAAACCCAGCCTCACCCGCACTCTCAGCTAGAAACCAAGAGCAGGTGAGCGGCCTTCTCGGGTCATCGAGGACGTTCTCCTGCGGTTGACCCCGAACCCTAGCTCAGGGCGTCTCTCTGGGCGGCCTCCGTCTGGACGGGGAGCCCACCCTGGGCGCGGCTCACTGGGGCCCTGGGGAATCTTGGTCCATCTCGCTCCAAGGACGGGTCTCTGGCCCCCGTGATTCTGTAACATCACACGTTGATTGTTTGGAAAATGCTGATTCAGAGTCTCCCTTTCCATGTCCACGTGGGACTCACACCTACATCACACGCTCGGAGAAGGGCCTTCAGGTTGGGGAGCTGTCTCACTGATGCTTGCAGGTTCCAAAATTCTAATTTCCAGTAGGTGAAAGTGAAAGTCGCTCAGTCATGTCTGACTCTTTGCCACGCCATGGACTATACGGTCTATGGAATTCTCCAGGCCAGAATTCTGGAGTGGGTAGCCATTTCCTTCTCCAGGGGATCTTCCTAACCCAGGGATTGAACCCAGGTCTCTTGCATTGCAGGCGGACTCTTAACCAGTTCAGCCACCAGAGAAGCCCAATTTCCAGTAGAAAACTCGAATTTACCATGGCAACAAAGACTCTCTGCTGTTTCTCTTGTTTGGGGGCAAACGCCTGCCAAGACCCCAAGTGTGAACTGCACGGCCGGCTCAGCACGGGTCGGGGTTTGCCCGTCGCCCGAGTGAGTGCTGCAGGAGGCTGACACCTGAGGGCCCAGACTGAAGTCGGCTGCATCAAGGGTGTTTGCCGGCTCACCCCGAGACCCGGGGCTCGCTCGGGCACTTCCTCCCCAGGGTGTGTGTGAGGGGATCCTGCCCGTGGCCACGCCGGGATCCTCGCTGAGGAGCCAACAGCTTCACCCGCCGGGGCTTCTGCACCATCCGTGCCCACGGGAGCCCCATGAAAAAGCCGAATCACCCTGTACTAGTTTCTGAGGCCGTGGTAACAGAGGATCATAACCTTCAAGGCTTAAACACCAGAAACTCATTGTCTCAAAGTTCTGGCGGCTGGAAGTCCAAGGCCAGGTGTCAGCACGGTCACTCCCTCTGGTCCAGCTTGGCTGTGATCTTTGTGTCGCCTCACGTTGTAGAGGTGTCAGCCTGACCCCTGCCTCTGTCTTCAGGTGACCTTCTCTGTGTGTGTCTATGACCAAGTGTCCTCTGATAAGGACAGTAGCCATGTTGAGTTAGGGCCCATCCTAATGACCCCACCTTATATGAACTGGGGGACACAATCCAACCTTTAACATACTGCTGTCTTGTTATGACGCTCGTCTAGAGCTCAGGGCCCCCCAGGGACCTGTGGACCCTGCCTGGGAGAATGCTCCATGGGGGTAACTGCGGAACAGGCTGCGTGCCCCCGACTTTAATTCTGCCCCTCGTGGAAGCCCAGCAATTCCCACAGCAATCGCTTTTGGGGGGAGGGTTAATAGGAATCGTTCTTATGCTTCTCCGAATGGAGCTGTTCTCAGCACCACCCTCACCCATGAAGCCGCCCTGCCAAGCACACCTTCCCAGGTGACAGGCACACGTTGTGCCTTTATTGTGATCCCGGTGGCTGATACGGGTGTGACGACATCTTGCCTCCTGTGCTATTTTGTGCAGCAATCTTTCAGTGAGTCAAATATTTTGAAAAAGTCAGAAAGAAATGGAAAAGAAGAATCTCCACTCAAAATAGCATTGGGCCCCGCTGGCCTTTTGGCCCGGCCCGAGTGGGGGAGGAGACGGGGGGAATCAGAGGCCCGCGGGTGAGGGGACAGTCACAAAGACAGCCTGTCCCCAGCACAGAGCCAGCCTTGTTGGTGGGATGTCCGTGGGTGGCACAGCTGGGCACTGGGCAGGCGCTGGGTGGGCAGCTCCGGGCGAGATGGCCCCACTCTGCCCGTGGTCAGACCTCCGCGGCCCTCGCCCTCTGTCCCAGGCTGTGCCATCAGACCCCACCTCTCCCCTGCGTGACCGGTTCGGGCTGGAGGGGTGGAGTGGCTGGGGCCCCCTGGGCTCTGCCCCGCTCTGGGGCTCTAAGCAGGGCCCCTGGCCCTCCGTGCCTTGTCTGTGCCTGTTTCTGGGGCCCTGAGGTCGCCAGGCCCAGGGCGGGAGGTGCTCAGGCACCCCCTAACCTGGCAGCCTTGCAGAGTGACACCCTGGGGCAGGAAGCACAGGGACTCCACGCAGGGACCCCAATAGCTGAGTGACTTGGGCCCTGCACGTGTCTGTCCTTGGGGGACAGGGAGCCCTGACCTGAGCGGACTCCTGGGGTGGGGGCACCTCAGAACCAGCAGCTCCTGGGCAGGAAAGGGGGACCTGGGAGCTGGGGGAGTGGGCTCCCCTCAGGCTGCCCAAGAGGCAGGGCGGGCGAGAGGAGGCCGCAGCAGGAGGAGGCCTTTGGGGGGAGGAGGGAGGCTGGGCAAGGAGGCAGGTGTAGGTTTTGGGGCTCCCAAGAGACAAATCACCCAGCCTAGAGGCAGGGTTCCCAAAGTCCAGACCATCCAGCCGATGACAGCGCCTGGCTAGGTGGGGACAGAGGGTGTGCTGGGGGCTGTCCCTCTGACCTCCAGGTCTAGTGTGGGCACCCTTGGGCCAGCAGAGGCTGCCCTGGGAGCTGGGGGTGGTGGTGCTCATGCCTGCTCAGGGGAGGGTCTCAGCCAAGCAGGTGGGCTGGCAGTCCTGGCCCAGCAGGGGCTGTGCTTTCTGGTGGAAGGTGGATGCCCAATTCTCCCCTTTCCCTCTCAAGCTCCTTGTCTGTGGGACCCCGCCCAGGCATGGGAGCAAGGACCCTCCCCCCGAGGCCTGGAGCTGGAGGGAGCACTTCCTTCCCCAGGAAGAGGGCTCCATGGTGGTCAGTCCCCGTGTTGCCCAGCTGGCCTTGGCTGGGGGGCTGAGCCGGACCGATGTGGGCCAGCATGGCCTGTCCCAGCTGCGAGTCATCAGGGCTTCCGAGGCCCAGCCCGGCGGGGGACAGTCCCCTACTCCCGCCATCTCCCACCCTGAACGGCACAACCAGCCTCTGTGTCCTAACGTCCTGTGGCTGCCCACCAGGCAGAGACCCTGGAGCCCCAGGTGGGTCCTCCCCTGGCTTTGGGGGTACACGGGCTGGCAGCAGGTGCTGCGCGCCCCCTCCTGGCCTGCCGGCCGCTTCTCAGAGAGGCCAGCAGAGGGCGCCTCAAGCCGCCGCCGCGGGTGGGCGTGGTGCGGTCTCGCCGGCCTGCCAGGCGCCTGTGCGCGCCCCTGACCCCTGCCTTCAGGGCCCCAGTCCCTGCGCCAGCCCCATCCTCGCCAGCTGCCTGCCCCGCCCCGCGGGCCCACGCCCTCTCTGGGGCCCCTCCCGTGGCTTGGGGCTCACCCTCCGAGTCTAGTTTCGATCTTGACCCCGTGACTCATGCCCCCTCCCTACTGGAGGTTTGACAGACCGGCTCCCACCCCTCCCATCGGCCTTCCGGACCTCGGGGCTGGGAGAGCCACGTTCCCGCAGTAGGCACGCAGCCACAGCTCCCAGGAGTGTCCTCCAGGCCCTCCCGCCCGGGTGTGGAAGGGTGAGCAGCCTCACCGGAAGGTCCCCAGCCCAGCCTGGCCACTGCCTGCCTCTGCCCAAAAGCTTTCAAACGTGCAATCCCAGGGGGGCTCCAGAACACACAGTGACCCCAGCCCACCTCCAGGACACAGACACGGGGCTGCTGGGAGACTGAAGGGGTTTAATGGCGTGGATCCTGAGCCTGGGTCACCTCTCCTCCTTGGGGTGTGACCCCCAGAGTCCAGGGCTCTGAGACTCACCTCCTACCGCACAGCAGGCCTGGCGAGCAGGCCTGAGACCGGAGCTCCGCGGGGGCTGGGAACAGGTGTGGGGGGTGCTGGGGACAGGCGTGGGGGAGGGGGGTGAGGGGCACCCAGGGCCAGTCTTCGGGTGAATAGGGTTCAGTCCGTCCTCGATCCTCCAGGCGGTGAAGGAGTACAACAGGCATCCCACTCCTGGGGGGGGGGGGGTGAGGTCCCCCTCACACCCCGGCCACCCCAGGAGAGCAGTGCACTAGGTGGCTGCTGAGACGGTCTCCGCCCACAAGGGGCACCAGCCTGGCCAGCTCAGAGCCAAGGGCAGCGGGGTGGCTGAGGTCTGCTGCCCTCGGCCTGCAGCCGGCCTTTCAGAACAGCAGGGGTGCGGGAGCGGGTGGGGCCTGAGTAAAGGTTCCTGCCGGCTCTGGGGGTTCCTGCGGCCTCCGGGAGGGGCGGGGGACCGGCGGGGCTGGGGCTGGGCCCGCACTGCTCCAGGCTCAGGGGGCAGGTGGATGAGGGGCTGGCACTGCCTGGCGGCAAGTTTGGCTGCAGAGAGTGTGGGGGCCCCGGGCGCGTGCGCGGGGGCAGCGCCGAGCCCGAGGTCAGGTCCCTGGGGCCCCATCCAGCGTGACTGTCCATCTGAGTCCAGGGTCTGAAACACGTCCGCGAACAAAAATAACACTCCAGCCGTGGGGCTCGTCCCCAGCTGCAGGCCTAACTGTCCTCCTCTGTGCGCCTCTGGGTCTTGGAATGGAACTTGCTCATGAGCTCCTCCAGCTCCGACCCACCCTGCTGCTTCTGGGGGAGAGGGGGGCGTCGGTCAGGGTCCCGCAAGCCGCCATCCCGGCACCACGGGGCGGGCGGGCTCACCTCTAGGAAGGCCTTCTGCACGGTGAGTTGGCTGTACACACGGGCGCCCTCCTCCCCGCACACCTTCCGCAGTTCATCCTTGTTGAGGGAGAAGAGCTGTGGGCCGGTCAGGACGCCCAGGTGCTCCACGACCCTGCGGGGCGAGCGCCAGCGTGAGCACAGCCCCGCTCACTGAAGGCCTGGGCCTCCAGCCGGGCACCGGTCCCCCGTCCCCCCTCCCCGCCCCGTCGCGCTCACCGTCCCCCCCCACACCCCGCCGCTCAACGCCCCTGCTCACCGCGCGCTGAAGGCCTTGGCCTCCAGCCAGGCGCGGACCTCGCGGGGCCCAGACGCATGGGTGAGCGGCGGGGGCACCGGCTGGCTGCGCTCCACCCGAAAGGGCCGTGCTGGCTGCGCCCGGATGTTGCTGATCTTCTTCACCAGCTCGTCGTTGACCTCGTCCATGTGCTGCATCAGCTCTGCGGGCATCAGGCGGCTCAGACCCGCGCCGCTGGGACCGAGGGCTCCCCTCCCCCGCCGCCTCCCGACGGGATGCGGGGCACTGGGGTCCAGGGGCCCCATCCCTCACCGTCTTTGTTTCCTGCGAAGCTGGGGGGCAGCTTGTGGGTTGGACTGACAGGACCCCAGTATTTCACTCCCTGTAGGGGGAGGGGGGCAGAGCACGGGGTGGGGGCGCCGTTACATCAGCTCGCATCCCTCCCCAGGCCTCTCCCCCCACTCCCCGTTCCTCCCTGCACCCCCAGGACCTGCTCCGGCCCCCACCTTCCCAGCCTTAGCCCAGACCCGGGAGCTTTCATCAGCTTCCGAAGGGAGGGGTCAGGCTGGGTCTTTCAAGACCCGGCCCCAACCCCGCCGACCCAAAGCGGGACAGGGCAGACCTCCCCTCACCTGCTCCTGGGGGGCGTCCTCCAGCCGGGTCTCTGCCAGGATGTTGCCGGGCACGTAGCCTGCCTGGCCACTGCGATTCCGAAGCTTCCACCACTGGTGGCCGTCCTCCAGCACCTGCAGGCCCAGCATCCGGCCATCACCCTGGTCCACAGCTCCCAACCCCCCAAGCCACGGGGACTAGTATGGGCTTCAGGGACCACCAGGGGGAGCCCCTCTTTACCAACGGGCCAAAGAGGGTTCTGCAGTCCCCTCTGAGCTGGCCCCACCCGGTCCCATGACGATGATCACACCCTGGCCAGCACCCCTGGCCCCCCGGCCTCCCACCCTCTTCCCGCTCCCCCCAGGGGTCTCCTGAGCCTCTAGCCTGACTGTGGATATAGATCACCCCCGCCCCCGAGCCGCTCCACTTTTCAGTGGGTGGCCTGGATTCAGGGCTGGCATGAAACATGGGAAGTGCCTTGAGGGGGCTCCCGGGTGGATGTGAATGACAGGGCCCTGCTGGGTCAGGGGGCTCCTCACCCAGCACGGGGTGAGTCCTCCTTCATCCTGAGTCCTGCCCAGCCCAGGGGCCCTTGACACCCCTCTGAGATCCCCAAGGGGGATCAGCCAGGCTATGCTGGGGGTGCCAGGCTGAGGACCCAGAGTGGAGCCCCGGGGTCAGGCAGACGCCTTCTCTGGGGCCCACCGCCCGTAGCCCCCACTCACCTCCAGGACTTCATCCCTCAGCACCGACAGCTCGTTGGCGTTGCGGGCCGTGAAATCATAAAGGACCCTGACGTACTTGGCCATGGCTGGCGCAGACTCGTAGCCTCTGTGTGGAACAGGAGAGACTGAGGCCCCGCGCCAGGCTGGGGTCTCTCCTCGGCCTGGGGCAGGGCAGGGCCGGGCGGGGCACAGCTTCCCAGGTGCTGGCTGCCTCCTGTCTGCGGCGCAGAGGCTGCGGCTGTCAGCTGGGATGGAAACTGTGACAGCCCCGTTGCGTCTGGGGCCCCCGGCATGGGGGGGCAGCGGAGGCGGGTGGCACGCGGAGGCCTGTGGGCACAGCAAGGCCCGCCCCAGCCCAGGCCCCCTCAGGGGTCGCTAGGTCCAGCCCCCAGGGGACCCAGCATCAGCTGACCATCGAGGGCCGGGCAGACGCTTTCAGAGCTGCAGCCCCTCTGGCGCTGCAGACAGAGCGTGGACATGCACCGCACCGCATGGGGCGTCCCAGCCCCCGGATGGAGCAGGCCTGTGCCTGCCGCCCATGCTGGGCCATCCCTCCTGGCCAGTCCGCTGCTAGGGCACAAGGGCACTGCTCACTAAGGTGCGGGCTCAGGGCCGTGGGGATGGGGCTGGGGTGGCTCCTGGGGCCCTGGCTGGGGGTGTGTCAGGACGGGCTCCAGTGGACCAGCCAGAGGCTGGAGATCAAAGGATGAAAATGTTTCTTAAGGTGACCCTAGCCCAGGGACCAGGGGCATCAGGCTACTGATGTGGGGTGGAAGGAGAGGCAGCTCCTCCCTTCCTGAGACTGAATCCTGGGGTCTGAGAGGGGAGGTGCTGCATGACTGAGAGCAGAGGATGAGGGAAGGGGAGGAAGGACGGGGCCTCCCCTCGGCCCTGGGGCTGGGAGATGTGGTCCAGGGAAATGCGCATGGCTGGGGGGAGGGAGGCTGTCCCCACGCAGACCCTCAGCCGTCCCCTCGGGCGGGCCCTGAGGCTGGGTCTAAATTGGCCCCGACGGGGCGACTGCGATCAGGGAGACCACTTAAGTCCAGAGGTTTAGTACATTTCTACATGTTTCTAAAGCATAAACGTGGAGACACAGAAAAAGATGACATATTAGGTAGTGGATTTATGGGTGCTTTCGACGTTTCCCCCTCAACTGTACACAACAAAGTTGAAAGGAAACCCAGCTCCAGTGCGGAAACGCGCTGACAGTCGGGAACGCGCCTCTGGCCGCCACCTGGTGGCACTGAACCCACGGCAGCTGTCGCTGTGAACTGCAGCACGCCGGGCTTCCCTGTCCTCCACGATTTCCCCCAGCTTGCTCAGACTCATGTCCATTGAGCCGGTGATGCTGCCCACAGCAGAGCCTCCGTGACTGGAGGGGTGAGCGGCGCCCCCGTCACCCTGAGAGGAGCTTACCTGTGAGTGTGCTGGGAGCTGACCTGGGGGAGGACGTCTCCTGGGGACGTGGACTCCGGACCGAGGCTGTGCTTCGGGGAGTTTCTAAAGGACGGTCGGCTCACTGGAGCTGGCTGTGGGGAAGCGGGTGCCCAGGTTTGGTGTGCGGCAGGGGCTGGGCCAGGAGGGTGGGCAAGAGCAGCGGGCAGAGGTGGGGCCAGCAGGGGCTGCAGGAGCTCTGACCTCGTCGGCGGGAGCTGCCAGCCCCTCCACCTCCCAGGGGGCCTCCTGCAGCACGTCCAGGGGTGGCTCCCAGCCACTGTGGAACCTGGGCACGTAGGGGGGCGCCTGCGGCTCCCGTGGCCACTCGGAGCTGGGGTGGGAGGGCCTGGGGTGAGCTGTGCCCGCTGACCGAGCCAGCCCCGCTCAGGACCCCCAGCCCGCCCCCCCGCAGGACCCCATCCTGGCGTGGCCCGTGCCTGCCTACCGGGGGCGTGTCCAGGTCTCCCCCAGGGATTCCCACAGCGCCATCTCCTTGGGGACTAGGTGGCCACGCAGGAAGCCCACAGCGTCGCGGGACAGCAGGGGCCTGGACACAGAGCGAGCGATGTTTGGGCCACCGCAGGTGCTGACGATCTGGGGGCACAGAGGGGGTCAGAGGGGGCCGCTGGCCGGTCCCCCTCCCCCAACTCCTCCCGCCAGCCCCCTTCCCCCATCTCCCAACCCCTCTACCCCCGGCAGCGCCACAGGCTGGCCCACTGTGTCCACAGCTCTGAGCGTGGATGCCGGCCCCAGCCGACTGCCCAAGGTGGGCACTTGCTTCTCCCAGTCACCGGCAAGCCCCCAGGTCCCCGCTCCCCCCAGCCCTAGGCACCAGGTCCAGAGGTCCGAAGAGGAAGTGCATCAGCTCAGCCGCGCTGGGATTCTGGATGTGCTTCTGCAGCTTGGCCTGGGGGAGGGGAGCAGACCCGCGGGTGGGGGGAGGGGAGCTGGCACACGGGTGCAGGGGTGCGGTGCGGCGGACAAGCGGGGCCCCATCCCCCATGTCAGCTCAGCGGGACGGGGCGGCCTTGCCCTCACCAGCAGGTTGAAGGCCAGCTTGGTCTTCTGGAAACAGTCCACAAACTCAGCCTCCGAGGGGGGCCGTGCCCGCAGCGTGAGGACACCCTCTGGACGGGGTGGGGGAGGGGGGCCGGACTTGAGCCTGGCCCGCCCGCTGTCGCCGTGCCTGGCGGGTCTGGCCTCAGCCTGAGGCTGCCCAGCGGCTCGGCGCACCTTCCCCGCTCAGGGGTCACTCTGCCCCCCGCCCCCGCCCCGCCCCGCACCTGCCGGCCCCTTCTTCCCCTTCTTCTTTCCCTTCTTGCGCTGATTCAGCTGCTTGAAGGCCTCCGCCGCCTTCTGCAGCCGCGCCACGAACCACTCAATGTCGTCCAGAGCGCAGTTGAGGATTTGCTAGGGCCAGAGTGGGGCAGGGGTCAGCCTCAGGCGGCCCGACCCGCTGCAGGGACACCCCCACCTGCTGCCTCTTGGCCCCCGGGCCGTGGGAGGGGCCCGGAGTGCCTGGGGCGCCCCGCGCGAGACCCACCGTCTCCTTCTCGATCCTCTGCGCCAGGGCGGCCCGCGGCTCCTCCTCCAGCGACTCTCGGCGGCGGAGGCCTGCACGGGGCAGAACTGCGGCTGACTGGCCCGCCGCCCCCGGCCCCGCTGCCGCCCCCCGCCCCGCCCCGCGGGGCCCACCTAGTTCTCCCAGCGGCGTCAGCAGGCCCACTCGGTTCTTGGTGGAAGGGGAGTCCCCGCCAAAGCGCTGGATGGGGATGGGGGCCGGGCCTGGGGCCGCGGGCAGGATCGACAGCCGCTGCCGGATCTTCTCCTGGTGGCCCCTGAGTCGGACGAGGGGCGGCTCAGCCCGCGGCAGCCCGCGGCCCAGGCCCGCCGCCCCCGCCCCTCCGAGACGCCTACTTGAGGGTCTGCGGCCGCATCTTCTTCCCCAGGCGGCAGTCCGCCAGCGCGCTCTCGATGTCCTCGTGCACGAGCTCCGCCTGCAGGGTGGGGGCCGGGGGGTGGGGGGCGCGTCAGGCTGGCTCTGAGGAGGGGCGCGTGCCCCCGGGGCCCGCGGCCGCCGCCTCACCTCCACCTCGTCGCAGTGGAAGAAGTGGACGTCGGGCTTGCTCTGGTCGGAGTCCTGGCACACGAGCAGCAGCACTGACGGGTAACGCAGCTGGTTGAGCACCGTCTGGCTGTGCCGCACGCTGGGCAGAGGGAAGTTCTCCAGCTCCTCCTGGGGGACAGGCGGCTGGGACCGGCTCATGGGCGTGGGCTCAGGGAGGGGCGCCATGGACACGGGCTGACTGGCCTGCGGCCTTCACGCCACAGACACAGCGCAGAAAGGGGCCCGCACACAGACGCGGCCGGCACCCGGCAAGGTCCACGCCGCTGGCCCGCCTCGTCCAGCCCTGGAGGGCCCTGGCGGGGGGTGGGGTGGGGTGGGGGGAACGTGGCCCTGTGGGGCGTGGCTCCCCTGACTCCAGCCCCGCCCGGTCCTCCCTGCCCTCCGCCCTCCGCCTTCAGGTCCCATAGACAGGCCGAGCTCTGCGTCGCTGCCTGCGCCCGCCCGGCAGGACCAGCCAGCGTCCTCCTCCCACCGAGGTACCTGCGACTCTATATCCAGCAGCCTCAGCGACTGGTCGTTGACCTGCAGCAGCATCTCCTGTGTCCAGATCTTCTCCTTGGAGCTCAGCTGCACCAGCTTCCGGATGGCGTCTTCCACAGACGCGATGGCCTCACTCTTGTCCATGATGAACGTAGCCAGGTGCTGGGTGGGTGGGCAGGGCGTCACCCTGGGTGCAGCCCTCCTGGTGTCGAGGGCCAAGGGCCTGTGCCTTGGGGTCTGAGGGGGCCACGGCCAACCCTGGGGGTCTGAGGAGAACAGCCCTGCCCTGGGGGTCTGAAGAGACAAAGCCCCGCCTTGGGGCTGTCTGTGGGGGCCACAGACAGGCCCCAGTGAACCCCTTAGCAGCCCTGCACATGCCCCCCACCCAGCCTTGTGCACTCATGGGCTCGGGGATGCAGTCCCCCTGGTCCCCTGCAGCCGGGCAAGGCCTCCACCCCTGTCATCTCTGCCCGCCTGGCTGCCCCCAACTCACTCTTCCTTCCAGATGCTCCTGGGTGCTTCCCTCCCTGAGTGCCCCGTCACAGCCTCCCTGTCACCACGTCCCTGACTTGCCCTTTTATTTATCGTCATCTGATTTTTGTGGGGTACCACGCGCTTCTCTGCCTACTGCCCGCTGTCTCCCCTGTGACCAGGCCAGGCCCACGGCAGGCCCCCCCGGTGAATGTGTAGGGAGGCAGTGAGCAGCCCATGGGGGCCCCTGGCCGGCTGGCCCTGCCCGCCCCCTCCTCTCTCTGGAAGCCTAGCTTGGGTGTCTTGTCCTGCCAGGAGCCCCCGAGTGTCCGTGCCAAGCTTTGCTGAATTCAGGAAACGGTGCTGGGACAGCTGGGTAAACACTGACATAAACCCTTAAGCAGGCAAGGCTTAACCACAGAACAGAGATGCGTGAAGGTGACATACTGGGTGACGTCAGATAACCTCAGAACGCTTCTTCCCTGGGGGACTTTGCTCAGCCAGGAAGAAAACCCAGACACTCAGAAGACCAGGACTTCCCTGGGGGTCTGTGGCTAAGGCTGCCGCTGCAGGGGCCACGGGTTCGATCCCTGGTTGGAGAGCTAGGATCCCACGTGCCACGCAGCGTGGCCACACACACACACACACACAAGGAAATAAAAGACAAAACCCATAAATTTGACCTAAAAAAATATTCTGCTTGCGAAAAAAATACCACATACAAAGTTTTAAAAAAGTGAGAAAACACAAATAATAGCTATAATAGATTTGATACAGGTTAATTTTCTTAAAATAGAAAAAGACATATGTATTATAGTGACAGTTCTTACTTTGTTAAGAGCTCTATTTTGTTTAATAATTAAGGATACCAACAGTAAATGAATAAATAATGAAAGAATACGTAAATAAGTATAAAAGATTAACAGCCCAATTGAAAAATTGACAAAAGGTATGAACAGAGACTCTACAGGAAAATAGATATGGAATAACCTTTTAATATAGAAAATTATATGCTGGGGACCTCCCTGGCAGGCCACTGGTTAGGACTCTGAGCTCTGACTGCCGAGGGGTCCGGATTCAGTCCCTGGTCTGGGAGCTTAGATCCCACAAGCCACATGGTGCAGCCAAAAAACAAAAGAAGAAAATTTTATGCAGACTCATTCAATACCAGCGTTGTGGATTGAAGCCGTGAGACTATCCCTTTAAGAATGAGTTTCCCCGATTCTGTTGCCCTTGCTGGCCGGTTAAGACGTGGAGAAGGGGGCGCCTCGCCTGGCAGCTCCGGGAGGAACTGGTGACACTGGACCGGGCCAGGGACTTCCCTGTTATGTTTCCACCCAGGCAACCTGCACATGTGCGGAACGTGGCACAGGTACAAGGCCGCTCCCTGCACAACTCCGAGGCCAGGCTACAGGTCCACGGGCAGGTTGGAGAGGGACCAGAAACACGCAGTGACTGTCAGGCAGAGGGTCTGTTTGCAAAGCATACCAAGCATACTGCCCGTGCGTTCCAATCCCCTGAAGACACAGCCTGTGTCCTCTGACACAGTGGGGTTAAATCAGCAATCGATACCAGACTCGTAACTGCAAACCCTACTAACCGGAAATTGAGCAACACCTTTCTAAATTACTCTGGGTCCACATCTGTAGAGACTGAACAACACACTTTCAAACAAGTGAGTGAAAGAGGAAGTCACCAGGAAAATAAAATACCTAGTGACAAAGGAAAGTAGACACAAAATATACCCAAACTTATGGGATGTAGCAAAATCAGCGCTAGAGGGAATTTATACCTATAAATGTTTACATTGCTAAATGCTTAAAAAGAAGAAAAATCTAAACAACCCATGGGTCAAAGAAGTCACAAGGAAAAGTAGAAAATATTCCAAGTTGCAGCAACATGGATAGGTTTAGACATTATCACAGTAAGTGAAGTGAGTCAAACAAATATATGGTGTCACTCATGTAGGACTACCCTGTGTAGCTCAAGTGGTAAAGAATCTGCCTGCGAGGAGACCAGGCTTCACCCTCTGGCTCGGGAAGACCCCCTGGAGAAGGGAATGGCTACCCACTCCAGTGTTCTTGCCTGGAGAATCCCATGGACTGAGGAGCCTGGTGGGCTACAGTTCATGGGGTCTCAAAGAGTCGGACATGACTGAGTAACTAACACGCATCACTCATATGTGGGATCTAATTTTAAAATACAATAGAAACCAACTTACTCACAAAACAGAAACAGACTCACAGATTTCAGAAACAAGCTATGGTTACCAAAGGGGAAAGTTGGGGGAGGGATAAGTTAGGACCCTGGGATTAACACACTACCATATCTATGTAAAATAGATAACCAACAAGGACCTACTGTATAGCACAGGGAACTATCTTCAATATTCTATAATAACCTATATGGGTAAAGAATCTGAAAAAGAAGGATTATCTGTGTAACTGAAACACTTTGCTGTACATCCGCAACTAACACAACGTTGTAAATCAGCTATACTCTGATAAAGTAAAATTAAAAAAAAATTCTGAGCTGAATAATCAAAACAAGAACATCAAAACTTGCAGGAGACCGCTAAAGGAGTCCCTTGAGGAACATTATAGCTATAAATGAATGTCAGGGAAGAAGAAAGGCAATATCAATGGTCTGAGCATTCTTCTTAAGAAACTAGAAAATGACCACCAGATGAAACCCTGTGGGACTTCCCTGCTGGTCCAGGGTCTAAGACTCTGCAGGGGTGGGTATTCAATCCCTGGTCAGGGAACTAGATTCAAGGAAGATGGAAGATCCTGCATGCTGCAACTAAGACCTCTCATAGCCAAGTAAATAAAATAAATATTAAAAAAGGAAACCAGAGTAAGTGGAAAGAAGGAAATTAAGAGCAGAAACCAACAAACTAGTAAAACAAAGAGAGAAAAATCAACAAAGCCCAAGGTTGCTTCTGAAAAGATTGATGAAATTGATAAACCCTTAGGAAGACTGATCAAGAAAAAAATTGAGAAAACACAAATGATCGATAACCAGAAGGAAGGAGGGGACATCACTAGAGATCATACAGGCATAAAACTGAATTCATAATAAAAGAAACCTTCCCAGAAAGAAAACCCCATATTCAGGGCCTCACAGGTGAATCCTAACAAAAACTTGAAGAAGTCACAACCTTCCATTAACTGTTTCTGAAGACGCGAGGAGCAGCAACATCGCTCCACTCATAAGGCCAACATAATTCTGATCCCAAAACCTACCAAGGGCGTTGCAGGAAGAGAAAACTATAGGCCAATATGCTAATAAATATTAGTGCAAAAAAATCCTTAACAAAATATTAGCAAATCAGTCTTGCCAACACATAAAAAGGATAATAAACCATTAGTAACTGAAATTTATCCTAGAAATGCAAGGCTGGTTCCACATTTTAAAGAAACAGAGTGATTCAGGACTTTCCTGGTGGTCTGGTAGTTAAGAACCTGCTTCCCAAAGCAGGGGACACAGGTTCCATCCCTGTTCCAGGAAGATCCCACATACGAGGGGCAACTAAGCCCACGTGCACTGACTACCGAACCCGAGTGCCTCGGCCCGGCCCGCGCTCTGCCGCAGGAGAAGCCGTCACAATGAGAAGGCCGTGCGCAGCGATGAGAGGAGGCGCATGCACAGCACAGCCGGACCAGCGCCGCCAAGAACCTGGCATGGCTCATCCATTACCATGTAGTACGGACATCTCCACCCAGGAAGCACTTGATGAAGCTCAGCAGCTTTCAGGATAGAAACCCTCAGCAAACAAAGGGATGGGCAGGAACTTCTCATTCTCGTGAAGAAACAGGCAGCTTATAGAAAAGGGAATTCTGGACACTTTCTTCCAGATGGGACACAGGCAAGGATGCCCACCATCATTATTATTTGAGCACTATCCTGATGGTTCTAGCAAAAGCAATAAAGTAAGAAAGACGAAGTGGTTAAAATTAAGAAATTAAGTACTGTATTTTCAGACAAAATGACTCATAAAAAATCCAATGAATCTACAAGTAATTCCTGAAACAGATAAATGAATTCAGTGAAATCTTAGGATACTCAATCACTTTACAAAATTCAACTGTACAAGACAAATGCTACCAGACAACTTGAAAATTAAATTTAAAAAATGAAATAATTTATAACAGTATATAAAAATCAAACACCTAAGGAATATTTTAACAAAGAGCCTTGAGACCTCTGCAGTAAAAAATCACAAAAGAGGCCTGAGAGAAATTAGAGAAGAATAAATAAGTGAAGAGGTGCCATGTTTATGGATGGGAAAGCCTCAATGTTAAGTCTCCCTAAACTGATCCTTAGACTTGACTCAGTGCAAATCAAGATTCTAGCAGGCTTATGGGGGGAGGGATAAAAATGGACAATTTGATTCTAAAATGTAAATGCAAGCCCAAGGAACTTAGAATAGTCAAGAAAACCTTAAAGAAAAAGAAAAAAGATGCCTGATTTCAAGATGGTTAATAAGCTAGGAAGAGGTAAAATTGTATGAAACACAGAGAATCCAGGAACAGACCCATCCAGACCCAAATAGTCAATCTTTGACAAAGGCACCAAAATGATTATGAGGGAGAAAAAATAGCTTCCCGTAACTGCAACTCTCTACAGGGAAGGTTAACCTTGAGTTTCAAACCAAAAAATGAATTTAAAATGGATTATAGCTCTAAAAGGTGGAAGTGGTGACAGAATCCCTCTTTGTGGGCTCTAAAATCACTGCAGATGGTGACTGCAGTTATGAAATTAGCAGATGATTACTCCTTGGCAAGAAAGCTATGACAAACCTAGACAGTGTGTTAAAAAGCAAAGACATCACTTTGCCGATGTCTGCATGGTCAAGGCTATGGTCTTTGTAGTAGTCATGTACAGATGTGAGAGCAGGACCATAAAGAAGGCTGAGCACCTAAGAATTGATGCTTTCAAACTGTGGTACTGGAGAAGACTCTTGAGAGTCCCTTGGACAGCAAGGAGATCAAACCAATCAATCTTAAAGGAAATCAACCCTGAATACTCATTGGAAGGACTGACACGGAAGCTGACGCTCCAATACTTTGGCCACTTGATATGAAGAGCCGACTCATTGGAAAAGACCCTGATGCTGGGAAAGATTGTGGGCAGGAGGAGAAGGGGACGACAGAGGATGAAATGGTTGGATGGCATCACCAATGCAATGGATACGAACTTGGGTGAACTCCGGGAGATGGAGAGGGACAGGGAAGCCTGGCGTGCTGCAGTCCCTGGGGTCTGGAAGAGTCAGACAGGACTTGGAGACTGAACAACAACAGAGCCCTAAATGTAACAGCCTAAACTACAAAGTGGGACTTCCCACGTGGTGGTGCTAGTGGTAAAGAATCGGCCTGCCGAAGCAGGAGACGCAAGAGACTTGGGTTTGAGGTCACAAAGAGTTGGACACAACTGAAGCGACTTAGAACACACACAAACTACAAAGTATCTAGAAGAAAATGCAAGACGTTTTCAGAGCCTTGGGTCAAGCAATGACCAAGTGAATAAGACTTCTCAAGCTCCCCCAAACAACCTAACCATTAAAGAAAAAAATGGATGTGACTGGAAGTCATTAAAAGTAAACATTTCTGCCCGCTTCAACATAGTTAATGCATGTGCATTGGCAAGCCAGACTGGGAGGTATAATCCATATAACTTTAGCTGAATTCAAAGGACCCCCCACTGTTCAATAAGCAGTCTATACATTTCATGTGGGCACAGGCAGCACCCCACGAAGGGTCCAGGGGCCAGGCGGGGCTTGTGACCTGGAGAACTCTCTTCTGTACACACAGCATCTTTGAAATGAGTTTACCAAGCAGAAGAGCAAAGATAGCTGTAAACTCTATGAATTCAGTTTTAGAGGATTCTCAAAAACGCTCAACTGCAGGAATGGAGGGCAGAGCAGTGCTGTTGAAAATTTGGGCGGGGGCGCTGCAAGCAAAAAGGACAGAGCCGCCCGGTGTCCTGAGCGTGCTGGCACAGAACCTCATACTCCAGCCCCTGAGGTCAACTTCGCAGTGTGTTAGTTTGGAATAAAGAAACAAATCCACAAGCCTTGGGCGCCCCCTCCCATTGCCACGGTCGGTCTGATCTTGTCGCCACCTCTCTTTAGGCTTCAGTTTCCTCATCTGAGTGGTGGTTTAGTCATTAAGTTGTGTCTGACTCTGCAATCCCATGGACTGTAGCCCACTAGGCTCCTCTGTCTGTGGGGTTTTTCCAGGCAAGAATACTGGAGCGGGTTGCCATTTCCTTCTCCAGGGGATCTTCCCGACCCAGGGATGGAACCCACAGACCCGCATCTCCTGCAGGCAGATTCTTTCACCACTGAGCCACCAGGGAATGCAGGCGGGGCCACAAACCGCCCACTTCCTCAGCCCTGCTGGCTGCTGGGTGGGCAGGAGAGGTGCCCTGAGCTGGGGTCATTCACAGGCTAGTTTGGACTGAAGTCTAGGAGAAGGGCTGGGAGGCCCCAGTGACCAGGTGGCTCCTCACCAGGAGGGCAAAGTCCCTCTGCGGAGGGCTGCCCTGGGTGCCGAGCCAGTAGCAGGCCACAGATGGCCTCCTGTGCAGGCTGGCAGGAGGAGCCGAGCACAGCACGGCCCTGGGCAAGAGCCCCAGGACACCCTTGGCTCAGTGGACCCGCTCCACAGACAAGAAGGCTGAGGCTCAGAAAGCAGTGGCTCATGTGGCTTCTGGGGCATGGAGGGTTCCATGGGGAGGAAAGTATTTACCTTCCTGGTCCAGGGTTCCCCCACCTTCCTGGTCCAGGTGCCCCCACCTTCCTGCTCCAGGTGCCCCCACCTTCCTGGTCTGGGTCCCCCACCTTCCTGTTCCGGGTCCCCCCACTTCCTGTTCCAGGTCCCCCCAGCTTCCTGCTCTGGGTCTCCCCACCTTCCTGCTCCGGGTCCCCCCACCTTCCTGCTCCAGGACCCCCACTTTCCTGCTCCAGGTCCCCCACCTTTCTGCTCCAGGTGCCCCCACCTTCCTATTCCAGGTCTCCCCACCTTCCTGCTCCAGGTTCCCCGGGCGTCCCCTGCCGCTCACACTGGGAGCTCCCCGACCGCGGGACCGCGCCTCCCGGGCCTCGAGCCCCTCCTGGGCACAGAGGGCAAGAGCGCCCTGCGGGGTGGGGGGCTCACCTGGACGTGGTACTGCGAGGTCTCGTGCACGATGACGCTGGAGTTGGAGTATTTCTTCCTCTGCTCTGAGCAGGACACACTGTCACTCGGCCCCGCAGGCGGCACGGGCCGGCGGAGGGGAGGCCAGGGCGGGGCTGCCTGTGGGCCCCTCACGACCACCAGGAGAGGCGCAGACTCTCGGAGTGGGGGCTGGCCTCTCCTGGCAGGACCCGGGGCTCCCTCCGTCCTCAGGAGGGACCCCCAGCTCAGCGAGGTGAAGGCACAGCTGTGCCCGGGTCTGCCCTGGAGTGGGTGTAGGAGGCTCAGCCTCCCCAGGCCCACCTGCCTGGGGAGGGATCTGGTCCAGGCCTTGCCCCAACTCCAAGAGCTGCCAGCGACCATCTCCCTGCCCCTCCCGGGGCTCCTGGCTTTCCAGGACCTGCGTGACTGGGGGAGGGTCAGAGCTGGGGGCGGTGGGGGGGGGGGTGCTGGCCAGGCCCAACCCTCCGGGAGCAGACACCTGGCACTCAGCCCAGCAGGAGCCCCAGCCTCCTGGAGAATCGGATCCGGTGGCAGAGAGGAGCACAGAGAATCAATATTGATGCTCCCTGAATTATTCGCAAGGCCTCTCCCCTTACTGGCTGCTGGGGGAGGGCTGCTCTGTGGCCAGAGTTTGGGGGCAGGGCCTGAGCACCTGTTGGTTGGGCCCAGGGGCCTCCTTTGGGGGCCCAGGCTGACCTGCCTTCCCTGGTGGGGGCCTGGCACAGCCCTGGGGAGGGTGGTAGGGAGAGACCCTCCCTGCTGAGCTGTCCCCAGCCTCCTGTTCTCAAACCTCACTCACCAAACAGGTCCTTGGCACTCATCTTGGGCGCACCGTCAGACCGGCCCAGGCTTCCACTGCAGAGGAGGGGCTGGTGAGGGCGGGGCCATGCCGCACCCTCCCTGGGGACAGCTGGACTCGTAGGGGTGTTGAGGGGCGGGCGGGTGGGGCGGGGGCTCACTTGGCAGCACCCGGGCAACAGCTCACGGACCCTGATTGGCTCATGGCGTCCTCGATGGTGGCTGGCAGGAAGAGGGCAGACCTCAGTGTGGCCGGAGCCCAGGGCTTGGTGCCCGGCCCACACCTGAGTGGACAGGAGAATCAAGTGGACCCCTCGGCCAGACCTGGACCCGGCCGGGGCCCTGCCGCTCCCTTGTGGGGCCTAGGTCTCCTCCCCACCCCCCAGGCCAGGGCCTGGCCGGATTCCCCAGGGTGCCTGGACAGGTGGTCCTCAGGGAGCAGAGCCCAGCCTTCTGGACACACCAGGCCCAGTCCTGCTCCACGTCCCAGCTGGTGTTCACTGCACCCCCATCGCTCCTCAGACCATCGGTCCTCCACAGGGACCCCCAGGGTGTGCCAGCAGGGGGGCCCCACCCCCAGAGGCTGTCTGGGGTAGAGTTTTGAGGAAGATGTCCCCGGGCTGTGCAGGGGCCTCAGGAGAAGCAGGCGCTTTCCAAGCGGAGGGAAGAGCAAGTTTAAAGACCCTGAGGCAGGTGAGAGCCAGACAAGGGAGGAAGGAGCAGAGGCTGAGGTGGGAGCCCGGGGAGGGAGGCAGGGGCCTGGGGACACAGAACCCAGGCTGAAGCCGGAGGGAGCCGCCCGCTGGGTGCCAAGCAGAGCCTGTGGGGTTCTGTGCTCCGAGGGGACCCTGGGGCCCACACTTGCTCCCAGCAGATGTCATCGGTGACGCCATCCCTCTGCGGCTTCAGCGTTAGGGGCCTGCAGGCTCGGGTCACAAGCCGGGGGTGCTGGCACCCAGGGCAGGGACTGCCTAGGACTTTCTGGCTTGACCAGGTTCTACCTACAGAGAAGCTCCCAGGAGGGCTGAGGGACTGGGGGCTTCAAGTCACCCCCCTACACGTCCCCAGGGTCTGGACTGGGCCAGACTCCTCTGTCCATCTCTCCGCGGAGAATGTCCGGAATGCTTCTGACCTCAGTAGGTGAACCGAAGTGTTTGTTTAGTGGGACTCCTGGCGGGCTAAGCTGAGGGTGCTGGGCACGTGTGTCCAATACACACACACACACACCCCTGGGTGAAACCCAGGCCTGTGGGCGACACCTGGGTTGTTCTCTGGCTCCCTGGGGAGGGGTGAGGGGCTCAGGGCTGGCCAGGAAGGTGACTCCAGGCGCTGGCATCTGGGTTGGGGAGCAGCTGGGTGGGGGGCCGCCTGCAGGGAGGGATTGGGGAGCACAGGCCTCGGCTGGCTGGGGTGGGGCGGGCACTGGCCCTGAGGGCCGCGGGCTGCACTTCGGTTTCACTGTGGCCATTTTCCGGGTGCACGGGGAGGACTGCATATTGTGCCGGGTCAGGCCTGGCCGGGAGGAGGCCCCAGCAGGGTAGGGAGGGCGGAGGGACCAGCTCCAAGTTCAAATTCCAGCTCCCAGAAGAGTGACCTTGGGGAGGAGTCAGCTTGAGACCGGGGAGCCAGGTGGGGCCCTGGGTCGGGGGAGTCCCTTCGGCTGGCCTGTGCCAAGGCCTGGATGCCGCAGGCACTGCTGGGCGGGGCAGGAGCCACTGCTGCCCTGGGCAGGGCCGGGGGAGGCCTGAAGGGGCAGGGCTGGGGCGGGTTAGGGGGTCCTGGGGTGGGGCTGCCCAAGCAGAGGCGGAGGAGTCGCAGCCAGGCCCTGCCTCCCAGGACAGCTGGGGCCATGTGGGGGCAGGGACACAGGTGGTCAGTGGGCACTTCAGAAGCCCGGGAGCCCTGCCCACCGACCTCCCCTGCCACGGCAGACACCTGAGACACAGGGGCTGCCCAGGTCAGGGCAGCCCAACCCGGACTGGAGGCCCCCGGCCCCTGACGGCAGGGCCCCCAGCTTCCTCCCGCCCTCCACCTCCCACTTCCCAGACTTGACCAAAGGCCTGACCCTGGACTGGGGCTCACTCCCCGGGTACCACACCCAGGAAGCCTGCTGGCACCTCGTGTCGGCCCCAAAGGAGCCCCCAGCCTGCCCGGCATCGGGGTAGGGAGGCGGGGTCCGAGGCCTTTGAGGGGCAGGAGAACCCCTTCTTTTCTGGAGGAGGGGCTTCCTCCTACTGAGCCCAAGGGTTGGGAGGGGCTGTCTGACTCAGAAGCCACTGGCTTACAAACATCCCCAGCTCACGGCGCCGCCCCAGAACCAGACGGGGCAGGCCAGGCCGCAGGCCCCGGCTCCTGGCCGCCAGCCCAGGGAAGGCCCCTCTCGCGGATGCCCCGGGCGTCCCAGCCCGGCCTGTAGACCCAGGCGGAGCCCCGCATCGTGCCGCCACCTGGGGAAACCGAGGCCCGGGGACCCGCCGTCCGTGCGCTCGGCTCCCGTCGCTCTAGCGCCGACCGGGTGCGGGCGCCGAGCGGGGTTGGGGCGCTCACCTGCTCTTCTCGCAGCCCCGCTCCTGGCCGTCCTTGCGCTGGTCCCTTCGTCCGCGCGTCCGCCTGCCCGTCTGTCGGTGCCTGGCTCTGAAGGAGGGAGGGACGCGCGTACGGGCCGGGGCGGGGCGCGGGGAGGAACCTGAGCGGCAGGTTAGAGTCACCTCGCGCGGGCTGGCCCTGGGCAGGGGCGGGGGCACGCGGATGCCCCGCCCCCTGAGGCTCCTGGACAGAGCCCCCAGCGCACACGCCGTCTCCCTGCGCGAACTCCACTGGGAGAGCGGGGGCCGCCGGTGGGCGCGCGGGCGGGGCCGCGAGCCCGTCCCCCGCGGGGGTGCGCAGAACGGCGCACCTTGACGCTCAGAGGTCCTGCCGGCAGGCCGAGCTGCCTGCGGAGCCCCAGGGAGGGCAGACCTGACCCTGCTAGGTGCCCCCAGCCTCAAGGCCCTAGGACTCGGGGACCGGAGCCCATCCTCTTCGCCTGATGCCCCTCTGGTCTGGAGAGGGCGCCAGGGCCGTGCTTCGGTCTGTGAGTCTCGAAGGTAGGACCATTGGTCAGAGACCCTGAAGTCCTGTGCCCTGAGCCGGCCAGGCGGGAGGCAGGGAGGTGTCTGTCTTTCTTCACGCAGGCCAGCCCAGGTGGGCACTCCGTGAGGGGTGGGGTTGTTCCTTGGCGGGGATTGGGATGCCTGTGGCCCAGGCTGTCCTTGAGTGGCCAGGCAGTCGGTGTGAAGGGCCTCCAGACAACAACCCCCTGCCTTAGGCCAAGCCCCAAGCTCTGTCCATAGTTCTGTCTTTCCTCCTCCTGAGCTGACCCTGCAGGATGGCGCTGCCCACCAAGCTGGGTGAAGAGGAAGTGGAGAGGAGGGCAGGCGCCCCCAGGGCTCCCCCATTGCTCCTGGGTGTGGGGAGCAGGAAAGTGTGTGGGGGGTGCCGGAGTCCCAGGGTCGAGGAGAGCCGGGCAGCTTGCCTGGAACCCCTGGGGAAGGAGGCACCCTGTCCTGGAATGTCTGCGACACTGCCCCTTCCCACACTGCAGGGACCTCCCTGCCCGCGACCTGGGGTGCCAGGTGAGCTGCACAGGGGTGCAGGGAGTGGCTTCTTCCTGGGGCCCAGCCCTGCCCCTGAGCCCTGGCGAGGCCTAGCTTCCTGATTCTCCCCCTCTGCTGACAACCCAGAGGGGAAGGCAAGCCTGCCCTCGCCCGCTCTTCCTGGAGGCTGAGCCTGAACAGGCAAAATGGGAGAAGGGAGCCACTGAGGTGGGCACCCTCTGCTCCTCAGAGCGGGAGAACTGACCCCCTCAAGGATGCAGCTGGGAGCCTGGAGGCCCAGACTGCCTGTGGCCACCTCGAAGATGGCGTGCCCTGTGGCCAAAGTGATGGGGGTGTCTAGGGCCTGGCCCAGATCCTCGGGAGGGTCTCGAACCCAGAAGGCATCAGGCGTCTTGCCACAGGGAGCAGCTGTGGCATCCATGGAGGCCCCCGGAGCCCAAGAGGGGTGCAGGGGGTGGAGCTCCACCGGAGGCAGAGAGGCGCTCCCACACCCACTCACCCCTGAGGACAAGACCAGTGGGGTGATAATTCGGCCCTCCTCGTTGAGGCCAGCCCCAAGGAGGCCCAGGCCGGCAGAGTGCTGCTCCACAGCCACTGGGCCTGGGCCCTGATGGACCTGGGCGGAGGGAGAAGCCTGGAGGCAGGTGGCTTCAGTCAGGAGCAGTTCAGAGAGGTACAAACGTTCCTTTATTTTAAAGATACAATGAAGAGAAAATATCTAGATATTCAAGCACAGTGTTATTCTAAACAGAGAAAATGTGCAACTGAAACAAATACAGGAAGGTCACTAGAAAACACCAGCTCAGGTTTCCCCAGGAGCACTCACAGAGGATCTGTGAATGACACAAATCCCCAGAGAACGCTGCCGCCAGCTCCCCATGTCTGCGGTATCCGGATCACCTTTCCTCAGAAGCCCCAGGCAAAGGGGGATTAGGCAGCCAGCGAGTACCTCCTGTGGGAGGCAGAGCCCAGGACCCCCGAGCTGCCCTGCAGCTGCAGGGGGAGCACAGAGCTCCAGCCCCTGCCTGGGGTGGGGCGCCTTGGACCCTAGGAGGCTCTGACCTGGCCGCCTGCTTTCTGAAGGGTCTCAATCATCCCGCACCCCAGGGGTCACCAGTCAGAACCGGAACCCTCTCAGTTTCCACCCTCACCCTGCCCCCCGAGCCTGCCCAGGGCTGCCTGGCCCTGCTGCAGCACTCTGTTCTGCCCTGGTGCTCAGCCCCACCTCTGCCTCACAGACACCCTGCTGCAAACACAGTCTCTCTAACACTGTGGCTGGTGAGTACGAAGATGCCCTTCCTGCTCAAAGTGACAGCCGGGGCACCGTCTGCCCTGAGGAGGGGCTCCTGTCCAGGGCTGTCCCACGGGCCTGGCACTGTTCGCCTAGCTGAGGAAGGCAGCGATGGCCACCACCTCCAGGATGGCCTCCAGGCTGTGGAGTGCCAGGAGCGGAGCGCCGAGGGCTGCGTCTGCTCGCAGCACCAGGGTCTGCCAGAGCAGGAAGTAGGCAGACAGCAGGGCGCCGCCCACGGTGAGGACCAGGCTGGCGGCCAGCGGCACCTCGGCCTCCGTCAGGTTGCCCGTGGCACCTGGAAAGCAGAACAGATGTGATGGGCGGGCAGGGCCTTCCAGACACGGGCACCCGGAGGGCCCTGGTGGCATGGCTGTGAGATCAGCGCCAGCTTCTGACTGCCATGCCATGTCTGAGGGTGTCAGGGAGCGATCCTGAGTGACCGGCAGAGGGGACGGGGGTGCCCCTCCTCACTGAGGCTCTGCTCTGGGTCTCCAGGTCAGCAGTGTGGAGGGCAGAGGGAGTCTGGATCTCTGAAAGTGATCCCAACTGTTTTCTGACAGCTTTCCCTAATTCCACGTGAAATGAGAGGATTTTCTTTTAAATTTCCAAAAATGTTTTACTCTGCGCTGCCATTCTGTAAGGTGTCACACACACTTACAAGAAGACAAAGCAGTGGCACATCTCATAAACCAGCGGGCAGGCACAGAAGATGCCCTGGGGCCCCAGGGGTGAGGGGCGCCTGGGGCAGGGCAGGGGCAGAGGCCGTTTGTCACCCACCCCCTCCTGTGTCACATGCTCGGGGGCCCCGGCTGTGCCTGCTGTTCTATCTGCCATTCCAACAGCAGGAGGGGAACACACAGCGTGACCTCATTTAAGAGACGTGCTTGAGTCTGTGTGCCTGCGACTGGGAGTGGGGAGGCCTGGGCCCTGGCGGTGAGCTGTGAAGCGGGGAGGGGGCAAAGTTCTATCAGGGCTTCTGCACCATGGGAGCCTCAGGACAAGAACTGTGATATACAGTGACACGTTTAAAGGTTCCATGTAAAGCTAGCAACGCTGTTATCTCAAGTACCACATGGTTTTCAGTCAACTCACCGAAGTATAAACGAATTGCTTCCAGAATCCCCATCAGAAAGAGCAGAGTCAGGTCGAGGACCAGGTAACTGTGAGGGTAAGTGAAAACCTGACCTGGAGACAAACCAGCAACAGAGCAGAGCTCTCGTCACAGGTGCGAGGGCGCCCACACCTTCGCGCTGCCTTTTCCCGCGTGACTTACTTTTATACACGAGCAGCAGGAGCGTAGCTAGGAAATACAGGGCATAGTACGTTCCACTCAGGCAGAGCAGCATCTGCAGCGGGAGGGACGAGAGCTGGCCAGCAGTTAAGGACTCTCAGGCCCGGCAGACAGCCCTGGCGGGGCACCCGCCCCAGGGAGGCCAACAGAGGCCCTGAGGCGGGCAGGTCCAGCCCAGGCCCCTGCGGGTGGCTATGGAGACCTGACCAGCAGCCCCTGCCAGGCTTCCAGTGCCAGGCCTCCTGTGTCACCTCGCCTGGCAGGGCCGCTGGGGGATTGGGGGCGGGGCTGGGCTTCTCTCCCGGGACATCCTCGCCCGAGGACCCAGCACACCTCTGGTGACAGCAGGCTGGAAGCGGTAGGTCGGCTTCCAGGTACATCACCCTGATCTGGGTCCCAGCCTGAAAGCAGAAAGTGACTTTTCCTCATTTTGTTCAAAGAAAATGTCTTTCTTTTAAGGGAAGGGGGTGGGGGTGGGGGAAACAGTTAAATTTTTTGCCCAGAGCTTTACTCAGCTCTGAACACTTGTCATTTCTCTAAGTGTTCCAGGGGAGGGTTTTCATTTTCCTGTGCCTCCTGGGTGGGAGTCAGGCAGCTGCCCCCCAGCGCGGGGCTGAGCAGGAGGCACGGTGGAGGAGGTCTGTCAACTCTCTCCACCTGGCAGGGGAAGCCCCTCCCACTCAGAACTGACAGGACAGGTGGGGGTGGGGCTTAAAGTAGCAAAAAGCAGGAGCCAGGAGCCAACTGCAGGTGCCGTGGGTGGAGGCCTGAGTCCTGGGCTGACAGAGGGCCAGGGGACCGAGCAGCAGGATACCACCGTGGAGGAAGCTCTCCCTGGAAGAGAAGGAACCAGTCAGGGAGGCCCCAAGTCTTGGCCTGTTCTGTTGTCGAGGACCACTGGCCCACAGCGAGGATCCTTTCCAACACCTCTGCACCTGTCATCCCTCCAAGGAGGATCTGACCACCTGCTGTGCTGAACCTGAGGCTGGGAGACAGGGCGTCCTGACAAGGTGAAGCCCGGACCCAAGCCCGAGGCTAAAGGCCAGGACGGTGGGATCTGCTCCATCGCCGGGGAGGAGCCAGACGTGCAGCTTTCTTGTCTCCTGTGGCTTCTGCACACTGGCCACGTGAGTGCAGATGAAGACCTTTTCTGATTCAGGTTACAAGTCTTTGTCGTTGATAAGAAACATTTGCTTTTCTCTAGAATTTTATTCATAAAATTAAATCTCTTCCTAAATAAGAATTTCCTAAGCCAGCAATCCAGGTTCTTTCCACTCCTCTCCCACCGCACAGCAGTTACGCCTTCTCCCTGCATCATGAGACGACAGTGGAACTCAGAATTTGCCAGCAGCAGGTGGGACGGTGCTTTCTCCCACGCCACGTCCTCCTTAGTCCCAAGCAGGCAAGAGAGAAACCTTTGGTCTGAGTGAGCTCTGGGGGGAATGTCAAAGGGTTAGACCCTGCTTCCTGGGCAGATCCGAGGTCCTCCAGGGAGTCTCACTTGGGGAAGAGGTCTTAAGTGGTCGGAACAGGACATGTGTGACAGAGAGGCAGCAGGTGCTGAGTGCAGGGAGCCAAGGTGGGTGCCAGCACCATCATTAATAAAACCCACATGGCCATATGGAAAGAGTCGGCTCTATGCCGGATGAGTTCTTTTCCAAGCCCGGGTAAGCTAAGCTGCCTCACTACCTGTGGCCATTTGGGTGGACTTCCTGCTAATCAGGAGTTTCCTCTCTTCTGACCCTTCTCTTGACAGTGTGCTGCAGAACTTCAGATCTGCCGGCTGCCCACTGTTACAGACTGAGACGGTGGGCCTCAGGGAAAATATGCTGTAGAAAAAAACTTCAGCGATATAGGATTTAAACAGTTAACGTCAGGGTAGCTACAATCAGATACAGTGTTCCAACGATTTCGGGCTTACAGAAAAAGGCTCATTCTTACTAAAGAGAGCCGGGGTTTTTAGGACTTCGCATTTTTTGTCAATGATCTACTGCAATAACAATGAGGCTGTGAACAGGTGTCCATGTTAGTCACTCAGTCGTGTCCGACTCTCTGTGACCCCATGGACTGTAGCCCGCCAGGCTCCTCTGTCCACAGGACTCTCCAGACAAGAGTACTGCAGTGGGTTGTCATTCCCTTCTTCAGGATATCTTCCCGACCCAGGGATCGAACCTGGGGCGATTGCAGGCGGAGTCTTTACAGTCTGAGCCACTAGTGTGTCAGAAGTTAGATGCAGAAGCAAAGAGAACAAACGTCTTCCCTGTGGTGACACAGGAAGGGTGTGAAGGGACCGTGCCCTGGTGTGAACGCGATTTTCACCGCGTGAGAACGCGCAAACCTCAGACCGTCGGCCCGGCACCTGTCCGCGCTTTGGCACTCCGCGGCTGGGAAGCCCGGCGGGCGCTCAGAACGCGGACAGCGCCGCCGTCAGGCTCGGCGCTCCAGACCCCCGGGGCCGGACGGCGGTGCGGAAACGGCTCTCCCCTTGGGCCGAGCGGGGGAGCCGGGACCGCACGGCCGCGGGCCCGGGAAGTGCTCTGCGGGCGGCGGTCTCACCTTGTGAACACACTAAGTCCACTGGTTAATAACATGCGCGAGGTGTCCCCGCACCAGGAAGAACCGAACCAAGCGGACCGCTCTCCCGGGGCGCCCTCCGGGACCTCCCGTCCCCCGCCCCTCAGTCGCCGTCTACCGCTCACCTCGCCGCGGGGACGCCATCTTGGCCCCGGGCCCCGCCCCGCTCCTGCCCGCCCCGCCCGCCGAGTCCGCCGCGATCCCGGCAGCCTCTCGGCGCGGGACTCGAACGGAATCCCTTCGGCCATTTTCGCTTCTGCTCCCGAAGGGGCTCGACGGCGCCGCGTTTCGAGACTTGATTCCGAACCGTGCCCGAGGCCCGATTAGCCTGTCCGACAGCGCTCGGGCACTTTCGGCCAGGAGGAGGGGGAGAGCCGAGACGCGAGAGGATCTCGGCTCGGGAGCGTTCGGCTCCTCTCGGCGCCTCCTCGGGCGGGCTCGGCTCCCGAGGCGGGCGGAGCCGGTGGCGCAAGAGTCTCTAGGCGGGGCAGCGCCGCGTCGGAGGCCGGCGGAGTCGGCCTCACAGTAGGTGCCCTTGCCGGCTGGGGACACGCCGGCTCGGCCTCCTGAGCGAAGAGGAGGCCTGGCGCGGAGCCGCTCGGAAACTCTCGGGCGGCCTCGTACCAATTCGGCCTGACTCGGCTCCACACTTCGGCCCACTTCGGCCCACGTCGGCCCTCGTCGTTTCTGGACTGCGGGCCTCGGCTCGGCTCGACCGGGCCGCTTCGTGCCGGTTCGGCTCCTGTTCGGGTGGCGCCGGCTCGGCTCGGCAGCTGGCCTCGGGCGGCCTCGGCTTGGCTCGGTTCAGCTCGGCTCGGTTCGGGCGACCCTCCTCTGGAGGGCTCGGCTCGGCTCGGCCCGACTCGGGCGGCCTCCTCGGGCGGCGCGCTTCGGGCTCCGTCCCGGCCTTCGGGCGGCCCCGGCCGGAGCCTTCGGGCGGGCTCGGCGGAGTCCGGATGGAGGACTCGGACTCGGCCGCCAAGCAGCTGGGCCTTTGTGGCGGCGGCGGCCGCGGCCGCGGCGGGAGGCGAGGCGGAGGAGCCGGTGCTCAGCAGGGACGAGGACTCAGAGGAGGACGGAGACTCGGAGTCGGAGCGCGAGACGCGGCGGGTGACGGCCGTGGCGGTGATGGCCGCCGAGCCCGGGCACATGGACATGGGCGCCGAGGCCCTACCCGGCCCCGACGAGGCCGCCGCGGCCGCCGCCTTCGCAGGCAAGTGCCGGCCGCCCGCGGTTCGCGCCCACCTGCCCGCACCTGCCGCGCGCCCGCCCAGCGCTCTCGTCCCCCGCTCACACCTGCCCTGCCTCCGCCCAGCGCACCCGCGCACGCACGTCGTGTGCCCCGTGGTCCCTGCACACCTACCCCGGGGAGCGCCCCGACCCTGTCCTGCCGCACACTTGCTCCCTGAACGCCTTTCCCTCCTTTCAGGATTGCGTTCCTTCTGGAACCTTCTCAGCACCTGCTTCTTGCCCTGCCCGTTCTCCCCTCCTTATGTCCTGGTTGCTGGTTACACGGGGGTCAGACCTAGGTCCTGTCCTGGAGGAGCGCGGGGATGGGCGTGTCTGGTCACCTAGAATTCTGCTGGCCGGGTCCAGATGGGACTCGAGCCCTGGGGAGTGAGGCGCGCTCAGCCAGGGAGGGCCCGCAAGCGTTGGGGTCAGTGGCTCTGGAGGCCATGACCCTGTTCCTTAGTCCCCCCTCTGGCGTGTCCCCATGCCC